CCAGGGCTCTGTGCAGAGATTGTAGCCAAATCACCTAGAAGAGCTTCCAGGCATTCCCCAAGGGAGGGAATCTGAGGATGTCGCACTATCATTAGAATTCAAGCAAACGGGTGGATAATTACAGGCTCTGGTTTAGCCTGATCTCTTTGAGTATAATTGTTTTTGTTTTGTGGGGTTTTTTTTTTTTTTGGTTTGGGGGTTTTTTGATAAATGCTTTTATCAGGGTATAAATGAACGCTGTATTTTATCTGTGGATGTTTCTCTGGGAGGAGAAATAAACAGCTGCACTTTGGCCAGTGTCTCTACGAGTCAGCCCGTTGGGGAGCAGGTGTGTGAATGTGTGCACACACGTACATGTGTGTAAGATTGCCTCCGGACTAAATGAGCCAGGCACCTCTGGCTTAAATATAGGCCCACCCACACATGCCCTTGTCTCTGTTTGGGGTACAGATTTTCAAGATGACCAGGCATTTAGAAGATGATTGAACTCATGAGTTTCCTTTCCAACCATCACACCAGAAGGGGTGTAAGAACCAAGTCTTTTGCCAGCATGAGTAGGCAAACTCCCACTCATCCTCTAAAACCCTACTCAGTCCTCACCCTTTGAGTCTCCACAGGCGGGATCAGCACCTAAGGATGCTCTCCTCATCTCTCTGCTGTAACAAGGGGCACACAGCACTGCTGTCATTGGCTCCTTGAGGCCCAGAGCCTGTCTCCCCCAGGACCTCAGTGTGCTGGCCAGGGATCTTTGGGTGGAGGAAGGAGGAGAGAGGGCAGGAGGACAGAGGGTCCTCCCCTTGATGGGAGGGGGTGCCACGGAGGTTGGGAGGGGCTTGGCCTGTGTCCTCACTTCCCAGTCCCCGGTTTCTGTCCTATGTCCTATTTCAGAAGTTATCCTCAGACTTCTCCAGGGAAAACCCAGCTTCGAGGGGAACTGCAGCCCTGGGAGCCAGTGCCTGTGTGGAGGTGACATGAGGCAGGGCCTGATACTGACCGGCAAGGGAGAGGGGACCCAGTACCCTTCAGCCATCAGGTTGGCTGGGTTCTTGGGTTTTACTTGTCATTGGTTACACAGCCTGCAGAGATGTGGCATCTATTCTGTGACATGTATCAATAATAACTAATCAAATGTTTTCCAGCCCTGCAGTGAGGAGCCCCCATCCCAGGCCCCTCAGAGAACCCAGACACAGACCAGGGCCTGGCCACGTGGCCCCCACAGCCCCCGTGCCGGTTGGGCCCCTCCCGACAGATGAGCTGGGTGACCCACTTACCCAGCCCTAGCCAGGACATCGCTGTAGTGGGCATAGTGGGGCTGGCTGCTCAGGAGGCCTCTGGGGACCCCCTTCAGGAAGGGATCCCAGGCTGGGGTCCCAAGAGTGTTGATGGGGCCCTAGGCAGGGTGGGACGCTGATGCAGACTTGGTGGATCCCCAGCCGTGTTCTTGTCACAGGCCTGCTGGAGTCCGGGTCAGTTCAGTGGCCACCGGCTGTAGTCTCCTGAGTCCAGACAGGTCCCTTAGGGGCCAGAGCCCCCACAGAGAAGGAATGAGGCTGGCAGGCAGGGATCAGCAGGGGGTGGCAGCTCAAGTCATCACCTGGGCCAAGGAATGGGAGGGAGCCCAGACCTCCCAGGTTCCATTGGGCCATTTAGGGTCAGAATACGTTTTCTGTGAACTGGATTAGGTTCAATTTAACTTATTTAACCTTGTCCATGACAAGGGCTTTATCATGTGAATTTGGGAATCTAGGGATAATGTCCCTGACTTTGTAGGAAGAGAATCATAGTATGTCCACGGAGCTAGGAAGCTGGATTCTTCCTACAGGCAGGCTTGCCTGAGATGGGGCCGTCTGAGCCAGGATAGAGAGGGCCAGCTTCCTCCTCCCGCCCCTCCTCCTTGCAGTTTCTGGCTCCCATTCAGAGCCACATAACATGGGCTTAGATATTTTTTGGCCTGATTTTTTAAAGTTTAAGGACAGATTTTATGAAACATCCTCTTTATATTGAATCAGTGGCTTGCACACTGGGACAGGATCAAAATCTTTTTTAAAAGCAATATTTTGCCAAGTTATAGAAGGAACACATGATCATGATCAAAATGGGAGGGAAGTAAAAGAAGATGAGAGTACCCATGGCTGCACCACCCTGAGTGAGGGCCTGTTCGCATCCACATCATGGATGTATCTGGGCATTAGCAACTTAGGTTTTGTGTCGTTTTCTAGTTTCACAGTGGCTCTCTGCGCTAACCTACTGGGGCTGCCAGGAGGAGGTGGCAGTGTCGTTGGGCATGTTGCCGAAAGGGCACCTGTCAGTGACCTGTTCAGCCACAGGTGGACACCCGGTGTCAGGAGTGGGCAGCCAGTTGCCCTTCCTCACCCCCATACAATTGATCTCCCTGAATACACGCCCAGGAGTAGGTACAGTCTTTTGGCTGAGGCTTTGTTCTCTGTGACATTTCTGTAATGAAACAGTGACGTACATTGCCTGCATCTCAGGAAAATGGACTTGTAATTGCATTTTCCTCCTGATTTGTATTTATGCTTTTATTTATTTAACTCTAATAAGGTCATTTTTAAAAAGAAAACTACCTACCCTGGGTACCCACCTCATCCTCTGGGTTCTCCTTTCCCTCAGCCTGGTTCTGGCCTATCCCTCCAGCGGCGACATGCCATCCGGGATTGGTTCCTGCCCTTGGGGAAGGTACCCTGTCAACATTACTGAGCAATTGGAAAGCTGGAATATGGACTGTAGATTGACAAGAATCACATCTGCATTAGATTTCCTGAATCTAATAACTGTACTGGGATTATGTAAGGGATGTCCTGTCCTTAAGAGAGACATACCTGAATGCTACCTGAGGTTACCTGCTCTCAAGTGCTTCAGAAAAAACGAGGAAATGGATAGTGGAGTGTACAGAAGTGCTGTGAGTACTCTGTGCTGTTCTTGCCATTTTTCTCCAAGTTTGAAAAATGTCCAGAATAGTAAGTTTAAGAAAGAAAAAACAGTCCTGTGAACTCCCTGCCCTGCACCCATGAAGACCTCCCGACTCCCCCTGCAGAAAGGAAGCTGAGTTGGTCCTCTTGTGTACGGCCCTCCCCTGCCCGCCCCACATATGCTCAGAATTGCCTGTTTGTGAGCTTCATGCAGACGGAAAAATGGAACCCACACCGTGTGCATCCTATTGTGATTATGTTTGATTTTTCCATTCGAATGTTGATGGACGCTTGGGTTGTTTCCCACCAAGCAGCTCCACTCAGTGGGAGGGAGGGGTGGGGACTCGGGTGCGTTTTGGAAGAGCGCTCAGTGCTTGCTGAGTTGGGTGTGCAAGTGAGGGTGTGGGGATTCCTGGGGCTTCTGGTCCCACAGCGGGGTGGGGTCCAATTCCCTCCGTCCCATCTAAAGGTTCTGCCAGATCCCTCTGGACTCCTCCTGTTGGATACCAGGCGGTTGGGCTTGAAGCATATGGGAGCCAGGTGGGAGGGAGGAGAGCCAGGGCACGCTGTTCCCAAAGACACATGTCTGCAGGTGTGGCTTTCTCACTCAAGAAAGGCACATGCTTGTTTCCAAGCATGTCCTGTACCCACGGGACCACCACTTCCGTGCCCGCCCCAGGGGAACTGGCTATAGACATGCTCAGCCAGGCCTTCCTTCCTGCCAGTGGTCGATTGTTTCCCCCCACACACTGAGATCGGAGGCTTTGATGCTCCCTTAGGAGCTTTGTGAAGTGGCAGCTTCATTTCTTCCTTGCTGATGGGTGCTGCTGGGCATTCTCGAGACGAAGGAGGCATCCCCTTACAGTCTTGTTTGGTGTATTAATTATGTACCCCTGGGGCCCTGCTCACCTTTCCGGAGAGGGGGGTTCTCAGCACTCAGCAGGGTAGAGGGTTCCAGGCACCTGTGCCCTCTCCTCAGTCACGTCCTGCCCCAGAGACAGCCACTATCCTAAACTCTGAAAATCCATTTGTCTTTCTGCAGTTTCCCTGCCTGAGGCTGTGCCCCGACTGTCAGTCTTGACCTTGACGTAAACGAAAGCACATTTGGGGTGCTCCCTTGTTGCTTTTCCCTCAGCACTACATTGGGGTGTTGGGGTGCTGGATGTGGCAGAGGGCTTTGTCTCCTTGCCGCATCGTGTTCTGTGCATAGTTGTCACTATGTAGAGCGCCCCCTTCTGTCAGTGGAAATGTGGGGTTTTGACTTTTTGTTATTACAATCTCTATCAGCTTAAAAAAATCCCCCTAGCGGCTCTATTTGAAACACAAAATTTGTGGCTGATAAATTGCTCCATCCTTTGGGGGTCCGGTGGAGGGACCATCTGATGGACACTGGCCTCTGGAAACTGGGGTTCCAGGCGCTCAGTGGCATCTCTACATCTCCTGTTTCTGAGAGCCAGTTCTGGGCCCTGCGCCCAGTGGAAGTGGGAGAGGAGTGACCTCGGCTCTGAAGGGCTCCTACCAGCTCCACCACCGGTGTGCGCCTCTTGCCCAGGCGAGTCCTCTCTGATGTTTTCGGCTCCTCCTCCTGCCAGTCGGGCCTTGGTGCACCTGCCTCCTCACCTGCCTCCCTGGCCCGTCTGATGGCCCCACCTGGCAGACAGCATTGTTCCACCAAACCCGCCACTGCCTCGGAAGGACAGAGTTTGCTTCAGTAGAAAGCTCCAGAGAATATGGAATTAGGACAAATAAGTAGAGGATTAAATCAGTGCACCGCTAACACACTGCACCTTCTGTTCTTTGAATCATCCCGGAAATTTTTAGCCCTGAGTTAGTGCTGCTCATTGCCTCTCCACCCAAACACCTGCTGGCTGATCCCTGGCCCAGACCTGCTGCCAGTCGCTCAGGGGATGCCACGACCCTCGGGGGGTATGGGCTCTCACTATGGGATCATGGCCGCTTTCTCTTGGTTGATGGCCCCTGCACACCTGCATGGGCCTCTCCTGACATCAGCAGCCCATGAGTCACCGGCTGCTGGGGCAGGAGGTAACACCTTGTCCTTTTCTGTTCCAGATCACCAGAAGCTGGAGAGAGAGGCTCGGATCTGCCGCCTTCTGAAGCATTCCAACATTGGTGAGTGGCCCCAAGGGGTGGGAGAATAGGGGATGGAGAGAAGGGGGGTGGGAGGTGGGTCCCTACCTTCTCCCAAACAGCAGCCCTTTTCCATTTCTATATCAGACTTTCAAAGAGACACCAAAAGGCTTCCTTCCCTTCTCTGTTGAACTATCCTATCTGAAGCCCCTGAGAAAGGCCCTTCTCTTTCCCTGACCTTGAAGACTTTATCTTGTTTGATGTGATTCTTGGAAACATATAGAGTGGGGATGTCCCCCTTGGGGTCAAGGATGGGGCTCTGAATGCCCAACTCCACCTGGATGGGTCCCCTACCTACCCTAGTTCTCTTCGCACTAATCTGTGGCACTGGTGGCAATGACTGCAGAGAAAGGCAAATGACACACTCCTCCACAGAGCCAGCATCCAGCATGTGACTCCCCAAGACGCCAAGCCTGGCAAGAACCACAGGGGCCCAAACAGTCTGTAGCTTCACAAAAGCCACAGGTGGACCAATTACAAGGGAAAAGTTTGGAAAGCAAAGACTGATCAAAGACCCCACTACACACAGCCCACAGCCTGGGAGCCCCAACTATCCCCCCTGCCAGCCCAGGTCTGGGGAGGCATGATCCCTGACCCAGAGTCAGATGCTCCATGGGGGCATTCAGAGCCCAGGGCCCAGAGGCCAGTGGCAGGTCTGAGCCTTGATAGCTGGGCACATGAGGAAGGTCTCTGAGGTGACCGGCCTTGTCTCTGGCATCAAGACTGCTGGCCCTGCCAAGCAGTGGGGGCATTTGGCACGTGAGCCATCCGGCTCTTCCTGGCAGCCCCCCCTGCTTGCGTTTGAGATAGATCAGAGCCAAGACTTTTACAGGGTCCCAGCCCACCTGTTACATGGAGAGACTCTGAGTCTTGGCCCCCAGAAGCATGGCTGCTCTGCTTACCAGTCTCTTCTCTGAAGCTCCAGACTGAGTCCCATGTGGGGTAATAATTACAGTTCTAGGAGCTGCAGGGACCCCGGACCATGCAGACCCTTGGAAGTTGGCTCAGATCTCCCCAGGGTCACTAGGCCCTCCTGGCCATCCTGGCCCTTCATGACCCCAGGAGCACGCCACGCCACCCCTATGGAACATCACCCCTGTGGGCGTGTGTGTATAACTGCTTGTCCTCTTGCAACACTGGTCCTCTGGGGAACTCCTGAGGGGTCCAGGAGCTCAGGCCTCGCCCATGTCAGGGAGCAGCCAGAAGCAGCCTTGTGGGTGGCAGCCACGCTCTGCTGACAGAGGGCTCGGACTCTGGCCTCAGAGGCACCTGGAGAGCTCCTTCCTAAGCTCAGATTCACTTGTGCCGGGATGGGCCCAGGACACCTGTTCAAAAGAGACACCTCGGAGCTGTGGGCACAGCCAGCTCAGGAGCCTGGAGCATCCACACTCACCAGGGCCTGAGTCAGAAAGTCATTGACTCCTCACCGCCTGGTCCGAGGAGCTGGACCTGTCCTCCCCTGCCCTGTGCTCCATGCGTGAGCTAGGCAGATGGGCCCCCTCTCCTGTCTTGGGCCCAGCAGGGTCCCAGTATGGAAAGCAGCAGTGCCAACCCCGGGGCGTGGGGCAGGCTACAGCCCTGGCAGGGCTCTTGGGATCCCAGGCACTTGAACCTCCACCCAGTGGGGGTACAGTCCCAGAGGAAAGGTGGTTCGGCAGAGCCAGGAGGCAGGAAAGGCCCTCTCCCAAGAGGTTCTCACATGTCGCGGGTCAGCCTGTACAAGATTTGCTGCCATCCACATAACCCCCGGCTTCCAGACTGAACCCATAAGAGACGAGCCTGGGTTTTATACATTCGCCACCACTGTGTGCTGCCCACAGTGTTTTTGCTTACAGTTTTTATTTAAATAGATTTTCTGACAATTCACTGTTTTACTTAGCCCCATCTGAACTCACGGTCTGATGTGCTAGTTAGGTTTTCTTCTGAACCACTAAAATAAGTACGTGACTATTTTTAAAATGTTAAAAATGTTTTTTAAAAAATGTCCTCGTGCACATGGCCTTGACTCTCCACAGAGACCCCCCAGTGGCTCCTCAGGGGACCCGCCTCTGCCCCCACCCCCAGGCCTGCAGGGAGGTGAGTGCCTGAGGGTAGGGGGCAGCCCCCATGAGAGGACAGCCCTGCAGCACCCCAGGGAGTAGCAAGGTTACTTCATGGATGACCAGGTCCTCCTGTGGTGCAGCCTGTGAGGGCTCCGAGGAGGGGCTCCCCTTCACAGCCTGGGACTGGGTCCTGCTCTGTTCCGAGCATGGACTTTGCATGCAGCCTATCCCAGGTGGGGGCTTATATAGTGGCCCCCAATAGAGGGGATTCAGGAGGGGTGAGCTTTTGTAGAACTCCAGTGATTCTGCTGGAGAGTCCTGTAAGGAGGTTACTGGTGAACCCCAGGGACCTGCCGTGTCTGAGGGCAATGCAGGCCAGACTGGGGGGTGGGGGGACAAGTCCAGGGCGTTGAATGAAAGGGCACCCTTGCTCTTAAAGCAGAAGTCAGCCAGGGACAGGCACGTGGGAAGGTGGACATTGGTTCCAGGCAAGTGCCTCGGCTGGTGAGATCAGAGTCAGCTTCTGGACCCCCAGTAGGCAAGCATTTCCCTCAGCCCAGGGAGCTAACAGAGGACGTGGGCCGTGGAAGTCCTCGCTCTGGAGAATGAGGCCGAGTGGGAGCACAGGGGAAAAGACTGGGCTGCCTGACCTGGAGCAGAGGAATGGAGTGACTCTTTCTGTTCTGGACTTGTAAAAGCATCCTGGGCCCCCAAGTGGGCCCCTGGCTCCAGTGCAGAAGCTCAGTCACCTGGAATTCCTCACACTCAGGTGATGATCGTGACAATGACAGTAGCAGAGCTATGGTTTGCTGAGTGCTCAGTGCCTCATATAGATTACACAGCCCTTACAACAAACCCGTGAGTAGGTTATTTATCCCATTTCACAGTTTGGCAGACTGAGGCTTAGATGGGCTGCGTAACCTGCCTGAGGTCACAGCACCAGCACAAGTAGCAGGGGTGGAGTTGGCCCGGCGTTTTGTGGCTCTGCGGAGGGTCCTGGGCCCCGGCCTGCCCTCAGCAAAGCGTGTTTTGCCAAGAAGGGCTGTTGGTCAGGGACTACTGGAGCCCAGGGCAAGGTCCAGGCCCCAGAGGTCACACTGGAGTTCCTAGGTGCAGGAACACTATTGGGCCGAGCCCCTGGGAGAACCAGAGCCAGAGAAGGGAGGGCACTTGCAGCCAGTTGGAAACTAGGACAGCACCAGAGAGCTCGAGGAAGAGGCTGGAGCTGACTCGGGCCTGGGAACCTGGGAGAAGGTGGCTGTGCTTTACACTTTCAGTGCCTGTGCTTTACACTTTCAGTGCCTGTGGCCCGATCTCACATGGTGGGGGAGAGTGGGACCTTGGAGGTCCGTCTCCCCAAGACCCGAGGAGCCTAGGGGCCGAGCCGGTGCAGTGCAGGCTCTACAGGCCGACTGAGTCCACAGCCCTGCTCTCTTTTGTGAGCTGTGTGACCTTCAACCGGTTACCTAACCTCTCTGTGCCTCAGCTTCTTTATCACTCTGGGGATGGTTGGAAGGGTTAATTGAATTAACATCCATAAAGTGCTTAGGACAGTCCTGGCATGCAGTGAGTGCTCAGCGCACGTTGGCTGTCGTCGGCCTTGTTGTTCTAGCAATGGGCAGAATTGGCACGTGGGAGAACAATGTCTAAAATGAGTCATTCCTAGAAAATATTTGCTGCTTGGTGCAGGACACATTCCAGCTCAAGGAAGAACAGGCCTTGGGGTTGCTTGTTCTGTGCTGAGATCACTCAGTGTTCCCTCGCTCCTTCCTCCACGCGCTGCTTCATTCATCACACCCTGACGGGCTCATGCCCTGCGCCAGGCAGAGCTCCCGGGTGGGGACGTACGGCACACTGATCATCACAGGCAGCTGTGGAGACGTGGCTGTGAGGGCCAGGGGCTGCTGCTCCAGCCTGCCCACCCCAAGGTCCTGCAGTGGGCTCTCAGGGTCTGAGCCTTTGGGTGATGCTGCGTGGGGCGGGTTTTCCTCCAGGTGGGAGACTCTGCCCCCTGGCCAGTGCTGACAACGTGCAATGTGAGGGCAGAGGGCAGTCCCGGGAAGGCCCCAGGTGAATGAATAATGGGTGTGTTTTTGTCCCAGCTCCTCTCCTACAAGAAGCTTCTCAGTGGCTTCCTCCTGGGGGCTTGGCAGTGGAAGCCCCTCCTGCTGCTCTCCATGGTGTTTGAGAGCAGCTGAGGCCCAGGCTGCGACCAAGAGGGCCTGGTCTTGCTCCGGCAGAAAAAAACTGGAGACGGGACTATGGCCGAGGGCGAAGGAGGGGCAAGGGCGATGTCCAGGGGCCTCGTGGATGCTCACTCAGCAGCGGGCTGGTCTGCAGGGCCCAAGGCACCCCACTCAGTCCTGCCCTCCAGCCCACACACCTGGGCCCTCCCAGCCCTGTCCTGCGGGTGGCCCCAGGGCTTGCACAGCTAGCCATGTGCCTGAACCAGTGTGGAGGTCGACGGTGGGTGTGTCCCGGGTCACTGCCAGCCCCTCATGGCTTCTCTGTCCCCACAGTGCGTCTCCATGACAGCATCTCCGAGGAGGGCTTCCACTACCTGGTCTTCGATCTGTAAGTTCCAGTGCTGGGGACTTTTACCCACTTCCAGCAGGGGTGGGATCTGCAGCCTCCCTACCCCCCAGGAGACAGTCCCGACCCCCTGGGCTGGCCGCTCCCTTAAGTGTGCATCTGCTGCTGGTCACCTTCTCCAAGCAGCACCTGGCCAGTCTCCTTTGCCTACCCCTCATTTGCTTTGGATCATGTTTATCTTGTCCTGTGGAGGTGGGCCTGATGATATCCTCGCCACAAAGAACAGGGCATGCAAGGGGTGGTGGGTGGGGGAAGAGAGAGGACCCGAGGAACAGCCAGCAGCCTCATTCACCTTCCTTCCCTCGGGATTCTCATCGCAGCTGGACTGGAGCACCGCTGGCTGGCGTGAACATGTGTGTGTGTGTATGAGTGTGGGGTATGTGAGCATGTGAAAACGAGTGTGCGGGTGGGTGGGGTGTGCGTACATGTGCGTGCGTGTTGTGTGAATGTGTATAGGTGAGCATGTGCGAGTGTGTGCTTGTGGGTGATGCGTTTGCACAAGTGTATGCATATGTGTGCCTGTGTGTGTCTGCATGAGAGAGAGAGTGTGTGTGTGTGTGTGTGTGTGTGCTTGTGCGTGTACGTGTGCAGTAGCTGATCGAGAAGGCGTCTGGGGCCGTTGCCGCCTCTCACTTCCTGCCAGATTTAGAAGCGGTGATCTCATCTCCCTCACTTTTGACAGCTCCTGCTAAGCAGCTCTATATTTAGCTGTCATGAGTCAGGGCTGCTCTGGGACCCTGGGCTGGGCAGGGGCCCACAGGCCTTGGCCTGCCCCTGTGGCCTCCAGGCGGCTGCACAGCCAGGGAAGCCCGGTGCGGTGCTGTTGCCATGGTTACCCCCTGCCCTCCCCATAGCTGTTGTGAGCACGGAGGCCCAAGCCAAGACAGGATGCGCCTCCTCCCACAGATGACAGATGCCCAGGCCTTGGTGCATGCAGACCCGAGGAAGCCTCCGTCCACATGGGGTGCTCTGGCCTAAAGAAGCTGAGACTCCCTTCAGAGGCTTGGCCACGTCTTGGGTTTTCCTGTGTGTCCCACAAGACATCTGGTGACTGGGGCTGACCTGACACATAGCCACCACTGCCCTCCCAAGACTGTGTTCTGAAATGTCTGTCTCCTGGTTCAGGGAACTTAGCAGGCTTGCTGCTGCACCTGGGTGCCCCAGACTCCACCAGACTTTTTTCCCAGGAAACAGAGAGACCCTTGGACTGAGAGTGGCTTTGTCCAGGGCCCCTAATGGCCAATAGATGGTTGTGTGTTTCAGGAGCTGAGAAGAGGAGAGAGAATGGTGTGTATGTGCACGTGAGTGAGTGTGTATATGCATGTGTGTGCTGTGCGGGAGATTCTTGTTGCATCTCCAGGCGGGCCAAGCACATGCCAGGCAGGTGTGGAGAGAGACCCTGAGGCAGGCTGGCAAGAGGAAATTGGCTGGTGAGTCTGGAAGGGCCTTGCACTCCCTCCCCACAAACCTCCACAGCCTCTGTGCCTCAAGCAGCCTCCAGAGCAGCCAAGAAGCTGAGCAGCAGTTTCTGGGGTGGGCTGGCATTACCCGTAGGAGGCCTTGAGGCCCTGTGGAGGTTTGGGGGCCCTGTGAATTCAGGGGGTTGACAGGCTTCACTATTCCCCATGCCTGGGAATGTCACAGGACTCAGGGACTGGGCCTGGAAATAGAGGGTCTCACACATACCTGCATACCCAGAGGAGGGAGACTCCCATGTGGGCCGTAGCTGCAGCCTTTAATCAGCTACGTGGGGGCGTGTCCCCACAGCCTAAGGAAAGAGGAGTATGGGGGGCCCTCCCAGACTATACCCTTTCTGGGCCAGGACAGAGGTTCCCAAACCCGCCATAGTAACCAATGCAGGTGGCGGCATAAGCCTCCTACCCTGCCTGAAGCTCTGCACCACCAGATGGCCCTGGCTAGGGAATCCCAGGTGCCTGTAGCTCAAAGTACAGATTCCTGAGCTCATGGGGATTCCCAGAGGGCCTGGCCCCAGCCCTGGTGAGGCACTGCTTGGAGAGCTTCGCTGGGCTACAGTCCTGGCCCAAGACCTAGAGGCTTTTTTGCCACTGTTTTGTGCCTGGACTCAGTCTCCAGAGGCTGACCTGGGAGCCCTGGATACTGAGAGCTAAACAGTCCATCATACGGTGTGGGGGCACGCCAGCCCCTTGCCTGGGCTGAACCTGGAGTTTGATCCTCCTGCCATGCACATGTGGGCACACAAGCACATAATAGTCTCACATGCATGCACATGTATACATGCACAAACTGGTATACACGTACACAAGGACACTCACATGAGCACACAGTTGCACACACAAACCAGTATATGTGAACAAATGTACCCACAGGCACATACACGCTTGCACACAGAAACATGTGCACACACAAACTGGATACATGTACACAAGTGCACACATGGGCATATGTGTATGTAAAGGCATAAACCAGTATACAGTGCACAGAGGCACACACAGGCAGGCACACATGCACACACACATATCCTCACACAGACAAGCCGAGCTCAGGAGTCAGGCTAGGATCCCTAGGAAGACCCCACCTAGGCATCATTTTGTTCCCTTCAGTCGGCATAGGGGCTGAATGTGATGGCCTACAAGTACTGACGAGAGAGAGGGTGGGCCTGAACTCTGGATTCCGTGCTGGGTGTGTACTGAAGGACACAGAACCTAGAGCCAGCAGGGCAACAGAGGCAGAGACCCTGCTCCCAGGCCCCATCTTGGGCAGAAAAGGGGGGAAAGGAACCCTCAGCCCTTGAAAGACCTGCCATGTGCCAGAGACTGGGTATCTTCTTGGTGAGTTTCACAAAGGATTTTAGGAGGGGGCGCATTCAACAGGATCATCAGGGTCTGTGTTTAGCCTGGAGCAGAAATGTGCTAACGCTTGACACACCCTCAGTTCAGTTTTTCTCCAGTGCTGAGAGAGCACCCGACCATGCCAGGATCACCTGCTCAGCAGCCTCTATTCCCTAGGTCTCCCCTGCCCAGCCCCAAGTGCTGGGCACAAAAATGAGGAAGAGCCAAACCCACCTCCCAAAACTATTAGGGAAAACTGAAATGCAGATGGAGAAACCAGCGCTCCTGGGGCGGTGCAGAGAAGCAGATGGGGAGACGTGGTAGAGGTGTAGAGGAGGCAGAGGAGGTACCTCAGGGCCCAGGCCCACCCCTCTCATGCTGGGTCACAGAAGGTGGCATGGGAGCCGGAAGATCCCAGCCTTCACAGGGGGAAGCTTCTAGATGGAGTCTTCCAGCAGACTTGGAGTGGGCTGAGATGAGAGGGAGCCTGGGCAGACCCAGGGAGGGCTCCATCTGTTCCCCCAGTGGGAGTCTACTCCCTCCACCTTTTTGCTCCCCATCACCTAGCCCAGAGGGCCCTGGGCAGCCCAGACCCATTGTGGGTGCCCAGAGGCCCTCCAGACAGTGGCTTCTGCCCTTGGAGTTTATCCTGGCCAAAAGGTCTGGGCCTGAGGGCCATTCACTGGGTGAGGACAGAGACCTTTCCTCTGCTCTCTGTCCACTCCGCTCTCCTCCTGGAGAAGGAACTTTTGAGCACCTCGAGATCTCCACCCACCAGGGAAAGCAGATTCAGGCTCCATATCTTCTGGCCCTGGGGAGGGGGTGTTGAGAAAGGAAGACTAGATCTTCTCAGACTTGGCATTAGAGTCACAAGGCCTGGGTTAACACTGCAGAGCCCTGGGTAAAACTCCTGGGCTGCTCACTCTGAGCGGGTCACCTGAATCTTTGAAACGCATTTTCTCATCCATAAATGGAGTATAATAGTACCAATGTCATAGAATGATGGTAAGGACTGAAATGTTACATGTCATAGGAGTAAGCACTTGGCAAACTTTCAGTCCTAAGAGAAGAGGGTAAGAGGGTGGTGGTAGAGACGGTGGTGGTGGCGGCGGCAGCGGTGGTGGTGGTGGTGGTGGTGATGGTGGTGATGGTGATGGTAGCAATTATGGTGGAAGTGATGGTGGTGGTGACGGTGGTAATGATGGTGGTAGCATTGATGGTGGTGGTGGTAGTTGGTTTATGGTAGAGGTGGTGGTGGTAGTGATGGTGGTGGTGGTGAAGATGGTGGTGGTGCTAGCAGTAATGGGGGTGGTAGTGATGATGATGTGATGTTAACAATGAGGGGGGTGGTGGTGGTGATGGTGATTATGATGATGATGGTGGTGATGGTGGTAGCGTTAGTGGTGGTGCTGGTGGTAGTGGGATTATGGTGGAGGTGACAGAGGTGATGATAGTGGTAGCAATGATGGTAGTGGTGGTAGTGGGTTTTTGGTGGAGATGGCAGCAGTAGTGATGGTGGTGGTGATGATATTAGTAATGGGGGTAGTGGTGATGATGATGTGATGTTAATGATGGAGGTGGTGGTGGTGATTATGGTGGTGGTGTGGTGATAGCAGCAATGAGGGTGGTGATGATGATGATGTGATGATAACGGTGGTGGTGGTCGTGGATGTGATGGTGGTGGTGGTGGTGATGGTCATAATGCTGGTTGGTGGTGATATTAGTGATAATGATGGGGATGATGATGATAGCGGTGGTGTTGGTGGCGATAATAGTGATGAAGGTGACAGAGTGACAGAGGTCTCCAGAATCTGTAACCCCTGCATGCTTTTCCCATAGGGTTACTGGTGGAGAGCTCTTTGAAGACATCGTGGCCAGAGAGTACTACAGCGAGGCTGATGCCAGGTGAGTACGGAGCCCTGGTACCATCCCGCCCCAATCTTCCCTCATGCCTTCTCCCTTGCCTCCCGCAGTCCCACTTCTGCTCCCCGCCAACCCACATCTGTTCCTGTGCAGTGGTGGCCTCTCCTTGGCCCAGGCAGAGGATCGGTGAGTGGGAGTGTCAGTCTACCCACTAGCTGACAGCCCACCCAGCCCTGAGGGGAGCTCTCTGAGCAGGTTGAAAGAGCAGAGGGCAGCTCATATGTCCTTGACCAGCACAGAGGTGTGGCCTGGGTGGGGAAGTAGCCCTGGCCGGCTCCCTTTTCCTGGGGCCCACAGAGGGGTTGTTCTCCTTGGGGTGGCTGGTGAAGAGGAGAGGCAAAGTGTGGTCATCACATCCTTCTGCCTTCTCCTGGACATCTCAGCCCATAGCCCATAAGTGGCACCCTCTGGTTGACCTTCCTCACAGAGATGAGCAGTTCCCAAAAGCTTTCACCACAAAGGCAAGCCAGGAATCCCCTTCCATGGCATCCTCTCAGGGCCACCTCAGGCCCCATGCAGCTTGAGCCCAAGGTGAAGGGAAGTCAGCAGCCTGTGCTGGTGGCAACTGGCTAGGAAAGGTGCTGCTGGCTGTCCTCCCGGAGCCTCTGCATCCTTGCTCACCTGCACCTGGGGCAGCAGGCATGAAGCCAAGTGAGACCTGAAGCCTCAGCACAGAACCAAGAGGCCATCTCTTTTCCACTCCCAAGGCCTTGTTCAGAGGGCTTGGCCCTGGGCCTGTAGGCCCCCAGCATGGGGGTAGAACGGGGAAACTTAGATTCCATCCAGATGGGGCTTTCCCTGGGCAGCCTTCCCATGGGGCTAGCCCTCACCAGGGGGATAAAGAGGAGTCGGTGGTCTCAGAAATGTCCATTTTTGGCGTGGCTGCTGGGGGCCAGATTAGAATATGATAGCTATCAGCTGAGTAAGCCACTGGTGGCCTGCTGTGACCCAGGCCAGAAGCCACCCTGACCCACTACAGGGATTTCACTTGTAATAGTACATCTCACCTCAGGGACAGCTCTGCCTGCCCTGCTCTGCCATAGAGATGTACATTTTTTTAAAAAAGGCTAACAGTAGTACTCTCTAAATGGTAGAGTTACGGAGGACTTTACATTTTTAATCTCCTCTGTTTATTTTAAAACTCTTCTTTAATGATTATTATTGTTTTTCTAATCAAAAGAAATGACTATTATTTTAAAGAAATAGCTTGGTGTGACTTCTGCACCAGCAAGCAACCTTGCCCATGTTGACCCAGCGCACATCCCTGTGGGCAAATGTGAGCAGTCCTGGTGCCCCCAGGCCTCCCTAAAGCTGTGCAGCCAAGGCCAAGGGGCCAGACAGGAGAAGGACAGGCCTGGGACCAGCAAGGCTGTGGCCTCCTCTCAGCCCGACTCCCGAAGGGCTCAAGGCACTGGCCTCTTTTCTCAGGGTCCTTGAGGAAGGACTTTGTAGTTTGCAAAGCAGCCTGAAGTGGTCTATTCCCTCGGAGTGGAGGAAAATGAGGGTTTTCTCCATATTCTGCCTACAAGAAAAGTAGCAAGTAGAACAGAGCCCCTTCCCCTGCTCTGAAGTGCCAGGCAGAAATGTCATAGTATGCTGGTGCTTGCCTGCTGGGCAGGTAGACTCCAGGGTCCCCAGAGCCACATCCAGGTGCTTTCTGGGTCAGGTGGGGCCCTGGGGTGGGCTCAGTACTCTGAGAGGCTGACAGATACCAGGCAAGGGTGGAGGGTGTGGCCTCCCAGAGCCTCCTGTCCACAGATCAGACCCCATGGCCCAGGGCCTGGGCAATGCTTGAGCAAATGCAGTGACCCAGGCACCACCCCAGGGCCTGGCACATCTCGGCCCACGGCCCCACCCCTCCCCCCACACACCCCACCCCCTGCTTGTGTCCCACCCATTGCTCCCCTGACCCCTGTGCTCATTTTATCTGCCGCCTCCTGCCCCCCACCCCCAGTGCCTGCCCTCGCTGATGTTCCCTTCACCTCCTTGTCAGTGTCCTCCAGCCTCCCGAGCCCCCCACCCCTGCTCCTATGGGTCCCTCCTGACCCTCTGTGTGGTTTAGGAGTCTCTGTGTTCACCCAGGACCCACACGCCCTGGTACCCCCCAGTCTAGGCAGCAGCTTGGGAGTCAGTCTTCTCCGAACACTGTGTCCCAGCTGGGCTCGGTGGCTCAGCCTGTAATCCTGTGCCTTGGGAGGCTGAGGTGAGTGGATTGCCTGAGCCCGCGGGTTCGAGACCCGCCTGGGCAACTTGGAGAGACCTCATCTCTACAATAAATACATAAAAGAAAATTAGCCGGGTGTGGTAGCGCATGCCCGTAGTTCCACCTACTTGGAAGGCTGAGGCGGAAGGATCACCGGAGCCCAGCAGGTCGAGGCTGTGGTGGCCGTGAGCGGCCACTACACTCCAGTCTGGGCGACAGAGTGAGACTCCAACTCAAAAAAAACCCCAAAAAACAAACAAACAAAAAAAACTGTCCCTTGCCCCAAGCAGAGGCTGGAGGGTATAGCTCTGGTCACAGGGATGGAGGGGTCATGTGTGACCTCATCACACCCGGCCAGTTTTCCTTCCTGGGGTGTCCCTGCCACTCCGCCCATTCCACAGGTGCAGCCTCACCTTCTCACACACTGTCCCCCTCATTTCTCAATCTGCATCTCAGACACACAGGACCCCCCAGTACACATAGCTCCTCCCCCTGGTGGCAGGCCTGGGTGCCTGGCCTCGAAGCAGGAGTCCTACCTGCCTGGCCCCAGACCTTCTGTTGTAGGCCAGGGGGCTGCAGAGCTGGCCTGGCAATGGAGACCCCTGCCTAGAACTGGAGCAGCCTCAGAGTGGGCTCGGGAAGGAGGCTCATTATGGTGATTCCCTCCTAGCCTGGCCTCTCTGATGTGACCAGTCTCAACTCTGGGGTGTCCTGCCCCCTTAGGGACCAGGACCCTCAGTGAGCTGGAGCATTCCAGCTTCCTCTCTTCTCAGTGAACCTTGTGCCCTGCCCCGAGGAGGAGACAACACTGCCAGGAATCAGACTCCTGGGGGCCTGAGCAGGTTTGATCTTTGCGTCTGTGCTTCTGCCTTCAGGCAGTAGGTGCCTCTGGAGAGTTTGGCATGGAGCCCCCCCCCCCAATTGTTGCCCACAAGGCATCACTGTGAACCTATGGCCAGGATGTGGAAAGGAGGGGGAGCTTGGCTTGCCCCCAGGGGGAACCCACCACTAAATGTAGTCAGGATCGTATGAGACAAAGGTGAAGAGGACCAGGTACAGGGCACTTTCTGTGATGAGAGACCCCTACTGGGTTGAATGTAAGGATGACCCTTCCAGGTGCCTGCCAAAGGCCTGGTGCCCCTGCAAGTGGAGCATTTGCCTTATTTTTGGATGAGCTGTGTCTCAGGAGCGAGAGGAAACAAGACATTCACTACTTTTTTGAACTTGTTTCTGTCCTCTTAGGGAGAAGGATTTTTGTTTTTAGTTTATGAGGAAACCAAGGAGTATGTCCATGTCTTTTTCAAATGAGCAGAGTTCAAAACACTTAGAACTCATTTTAAAAAAAAAAAACACCTTAAAGCGTTTATGAAAGGGATCCTGTGAGAGCCCAGACTGGGAGAATCACGTCCAGAATCAATTCTGATCATAAAAGTGACCTCCCTAACTATTCAGAAAGAAGCCTCTAGAAGTGGTCATCCCTGCCTGAGAAGACCGTGCAATGTTAACAGAAAGTGGGGGCAGGCAGGACTGCAGGACTGGTCTCGAATAGGACACAGGGGAAGAGCAACATGAGGAGAGGTTCCCAGAGGACAGAGGGTACCCCAGATGGGCTCCTCTCAGGCCAGATGGGTGTCCCATCTCACCTCCAGGCCAACATCGTCAGCTTGTGGCGGTGTAGCTGGGCACAGGATTCTCGTAGGGAATCCCAGCTCAGCCGGCTTGTCCACGGACACTTACATGCAGTTCCTGGAGCCTACATGGTAACGGACTGGATGGACTTGATCTCAACAACCCCCGTGAATGCCATGGGGAGGTGCAGACCAGGTGCTGGCCCAGCAGTCACAGAGTCTCTGATGTGGGTTTGGGGCCCTGCACTCCTAACCGGGATGCCGAGGAGGACTGGACATGCTGGCCACAAGTCAGGAAGAGATCACAGCTGGGGAGGAAGGAGGACACAGGGCATCCCCAGAACTGAGACCAGGACTCGCAGTGGCCTCAGTAAGTCTGAGGCTAGAGAAATTCAACGAGAAAGGCGTCAACTGCTGCCCTTAGCATTTGTCTATGAGGTGCATGCAGTGCAGATAGATCCCCTGTTGGTGTGTCCAGGGGGGCAGCACTTCCTGATGGCCACCAGCTCTACACAAGTAGCTCCAGAGGAGAGCACCTAAGGACAGAGGATAGGTCAGCCCACGAGGATGGACTGGAGGAAAGGGTGCATGGTTGGGCCAGAAGGGGCCCCAGATCTACACCCCCTCCCAGGACAAACCAGGCCCAAGAGTGACCAAAGGATCTGGCCATCCACACAGTGCAGCAGTGCATGAATGGGCTGGTCGACCTGAGAGGGTCACGCTGAGCTCTCCAACACTCTGTGGGGTTGGGAAAAGACATCTGATCCCACAGTCTTGGCACCCACGGGCGCAGCCTTCCCATCCTGGATGACCTGCAGGGGGGCTGTCTGCCTTCTGGAGAGAGGCCCCTCCAACTACTTGCTGTAGACAGACTCACAGGCCTCGCCATGGAATGGCTGGCCAGCCTGCAGGGGGCTGAGCACCATTCAGAGCAATGGTGCTGGGCTCCCTTGGAGACAAGGATGAGGGACTGTTCCAGGTCGGTGAGGGCATCATGGGAAGTGGACACTCCTCACAGTAACTCCCCGGGGCTGGATGCAGGGACACAGCCTCCCACAGAAGCAGCAGGAGCAGAAAGGGAGTTAAGGGGGGCTCTGGGAACAGGCCAGCAGAAGAAAGGAAAGTGTTTCAGGGAAGCAGCAGGAGACCCCAGGGCAGGGGGCCTGAGACCCCAGGACACAGCAGTGAGGGGGATAGGATTGCAGTTCTTGCCTTTGGTGGCATGAAGGGCAGCCACCAAGGGACTCCTACAGGTTTGGCCTGCTTCTGTCTGACCTCACAAGCCTCAGGAATTCATCATCATCTGTGAAGATACTGAGGGCTGGGTTTCTTCAGGAAAGAGACTCAGATTTGCTTTTTAATATAGTGGCTGATGCTGTCCAGATGTGGCCAGGAGGGTGAAGCTGTTTGAGGCAGAGGTCTGGGCTTCCACACCCTCTCTAAGTTTGCTATTAGGAAAACAAAGCCCACTCATGCCATAGACCTTGGCCACCCCACTGCCCCCCTCGAAGTTCTAGCTGAAATAGGAGGATATTCGGGGGATCTGCCTGTCACTCCCTTGCCCCTGTCCAGAGGGACAGTGGCCAAGACCCCGACCGGGTGGGCTTTGGGCAGCCTGTGGCAAATGCTTCCAGGCCCAGCAGGGCAGCTACATGCATGTGTGTGTGTGTGTATGGAGGCAGTGGCTGCTCTTAGCCTGTAGCATGGAGCTGTTCTCAGGGCATGGACTGGGTAGCCCCCGAGGGTCCTATGCCAGGCTCCAGGGACACCTTGGGTAAAGACAGGCCCAAACCATAGGGTCTCAGTGTGTGTAGGGGCCGGGTAGCTCTGGGTCAGATGTACTCCCAGACAGATGTCAGGGAGGTGGCCTGAGGACAGCTTGGAGCCCTCTTCCCAGCCAGTCATGTCCTGAAAGGGCCCTGGGCTTTGCTGACAGTGAAAGAGAAGGTTGAAAGGGAGCTCCCTGTGCTCAGGGCTGCCCCTTGCCAGGAGAGCCAGCCTTGCACACAGGACCCCCTGCCTGGCCCCTCAGGTCCCTGGGAGCCCAGCTAGATCCCCAGTGCTACTAGAACTGAGCACCCCAATGTGGCAGCCACTAGCCAATGTGGAAGCTTCAATTTACCTTTATTGAAATGAAATCACATGTGCAGAAGTACATCACTGCTGTTCCAGAGCTCTGTGGCCCTTCCCTACCTTAGTTTCCCCGCCCTCTCGCCTGCACCCCTCACCACAGCCTACCCTGCAGGTATAGGCTCCACCTGGCCCCACTCCTGGGGATGCCTGGCTAACGGTCAGGCTTGCCCAACATGAGTCTGTCTGGGGATGGGGTGTTCCCTCTGAAAGCCACTTCTGTGGGCCTGGCCATGCCTCCTGAGCAGATTCAGGCTCAGAGGGTTAGGCAGCACAAGGGCCAGGGTTGCTGGCCTTGGGGGTGATGGAGCCCCAGAGGTCCCTCCTGGCCAGCATCTCCTCTTCCCTTGATTCGCCATGACCCCTGTTCCCTTTTAGGCCACACAGCTTTGTTGACCCCCTCTCCCTGCCTCCTCTTGCTGCGCTCCCCCCCCGCCCGGGGGGCCACTTGCACTAACCCGCCTGCTGTTTGCCACAGTCACTGCATCCAGCAGATCCTGGAGGCCGTTCTCCATTGTCACCAAATGGGGGTCGTCCACAGAGACCTCAAGGTGAGTTCCTACCCCACTCTGTGCCAGGTGTCTGTTGTCTGTACCTGCATGCTATGTACAAGGAGATGTGAAGGGTTGGGCATTGCAGAGCCCCACAGGATGTGGGTGTGTATGCATGTGTGTGCACACTTGTGTGCATGCATGGAGGAGTGTGTGCATGCATATGCATGTGTGCTCTCTTACATTGAGGTGTGCATGTGCACATGTGTGTGCACATGCAAGGGGAACTTTGCATATGTGTGTGTGCATGGAGGCATGTGTGCATAGTTGTATGTGTGCACATGTGAGAGTTTACATGTGTCACATGCATGGAAGTGTGTGCGTGTGCCTGCATGTGTGTGCATGGAGGTGTGTGCCTTCATGGAGGTATTATCTGTGGTTGTGTGTGCACGTGTGTCTACTTGATTACATGTGTGCATACACACACATGTGTGTAGATATGCATGCATGTGCACACATGAAGTTGTGGGAATACACATGCCTGTGCTTGAGTGGTCCTGTGTATGTGTATATATATATATGTGCCTTGTATGAACTCATGTGTGCATATGGGTGTGCATGGGCTGTGTGCATATGTGCGCATGGTTGCATATGTACACACATGTATGGGCATGTGTCTATCCATGTAAGTGTGCCTATATATGCATGCGTATGGGTGTGTGTGGGCATGTGTATTTGGGTGCATGTATATGTATGCGTGCATGTCTACTCTGTGGGCATGTGTGTTTACATGAGCATGCATATGCATGTGTGTGGAAGATGTCTGCACATGCCCCTCCCAATGCCTCCAGGCCTCCAAGGCTGGGAGGGAGTGGTCTTCAGAAATCAGCCTATTAGCAAACATCCACTCAGGATCTCACTTTCTGGGCTCCCGCCAAGATATAGCCCTGACAGGTGGGCACGCAGTTGACAGAGGGCTGAGGCTGGTGGGAGCAGGGTGATGAGAGCAGGCTTCACCCTGCTCTGCCAAGTCCTCCCAGCCCTTTCTCCAAGTCTCTGCTGCTCACAGCTCAGTTCTGGGCAAAACGACTCCAGGCTCTGTTCAAAAGGTTTGTCACCTCCCAGGGCACAGAGTGGCCATGGCCTCTCAGAAGCTTTCCTCCCTCTCTGCTTCTCTCCCCTTCCCTCCTCTTCCTTTCTTCCAGTCTCTTCTCCTCTTTCTTCAACCCACCTTCTAGGCTTGGTTCAGCCTGTTGCTTCTTTCTGACCAGGCAAGCAGTGGAGACCCTGGGCCTGTCGCCTCAATGGCATTTAAAACCAGCCTCCCCATGGACATTCATGCTGAATAGGGGTCACATCCTTCCAAAGGGTCACGCCCTTCCAAAGTTCAGCCATTGACGAGGGCGGTTGTCACACGAGGAACAGATCTGGAGCCCTCTCCTGTGCCCCTTCGCGTGCCTACCCCATACTCTCTCTCGTCTGTGCACCCCAGGCCAGTCCTGCTCTCTGCCTCATTTGAACCAGCCTCAGGGACTTCTGGGAGAGGGCCATGGGTCAGTGCTAGGACTCAGTGGTTCTCCTGCGAGGGAGCATGGACACTGTGTTCCCTAACTTCATGGTTTATCTAGTTAGCTTAGAGGTCAAAGCCTAGAAGTAGAAGTCAATGCTCCTTCCTCCCCAACCTGGGGATAAATGAGTTCTTGCTGTGACCTCCTACCTCCTGTTGGAGGGCACAAAATGTCCCTCCTCTCCTGCCTAGAAACCCACCATCTTGATTGAGACAGTCCTGGAAGTAGTGCTGGAATGGGTTCGCTTGCACCCTACAGGGAGGGTGGCAGATAGCAGAGGGCAGTCGACACTATCCCAGGGGACTGCAAGGGAACCAGAGGCAGGGGCATTGCTGTGTGACCCGGCAGGGGTAGGCCCAGCCTTGGCATTTCCCTGAGGGCCCCCAGGCCTTCTTGTCCAGGGCCTCCCTGGGCCCAAGTTCGCTTAATGCTCCTTTTTCTCTTCGGGGGAAAAAAGGCTGATCTGTTTCCTCTGGGGTGAGGCACACACCAGAAGTCTTCTTTGTGCTGGACCAGTGCGACTGTTGCGACCCCACCTGCAGCCCCTGCCCCCTCCTCTTTCTGACTCCTTGATGTGGGAGTCACTGGCAAGATCAAGTTGTCCAGGGCCTCTGGGTTGGTGCTCGGTGGGCAAGGATGTGGGTATCCCAGCCTGTTACCTGAGGAGATGGGGAGACAGAGACGAGACAGCAATCCCTCGTTGCTGCCGAGGGGCCACGAGGCCTCATCTCTACTGGCACAGTAGGGCACAGCTGGAGCTCTCAGAGGAGGCTCTGGGTTTCTGCCATGAGGGGAGCTCACAGTTCCGGGGGGCACGGCTTTTTTCATGTGGGGTTAGCATATTTCATAGATTTTGTGGGCCAATTCCTCACATTTTAAAATCTCTGAGATTGACAACCAGTGTTCAAAAGCAGGTGGAATGGCTACATTTTGTCTCATAAAGCAGCATGTGATCCCAGCAGGCGGTGCGTCAGCTGGCATGAAGTGCCAGGACTTCGTGGCATGTCGTGAAGGAGCAGGCGGCCTGGGAGGGCTCTAGGGAGCCGCCTGGTGGTCAGGGACAAGGAAGGCCAGCAGTGGAGAGCTCCCTGCTGAGTTCTGAGCACAGCAGGGACCCGGCTGCCAGAGGTGGTGAGGCTGATGGATAGGCCAGAGCCCTGCTGGATTTAGAAGCTGAAGCAGGAAGGCTCCAGGGGATGCAGCAGCCCTGGGACCCCTGTAGGCCCTCAGCATTAACTGTTCCCAGTCTGAGGACAGCAGCCTCCTAGGCCACTGCTGTAGGATAGGGAACAGATGTCCTTCCAACTTGAGCAAGCACTGCTCCCTGAGGGAGCCTTGAGCAACCTTCCCACCTGTGGGCACCCAACAAACAGGTGATCAGAACAGGGGCCTCATTTCTGTCCCATGCAGCAGAGCTGACCACAGCCAGAGTGGACTTGGTGGGTTGACCATGTCTGACAAGAGGACATCTTGGGCTCCCCCAGGCGCTGGGGTCCTGGGTGTTTCTCCTTGCCTTTTGGGGGTCACTATGCCAGTAGGAAGTGCCTGGACCTCCCAACAGACAGCCCCTCACCATGCCTGAATGAGAAGGGGAGGGAAGGCCATTGCAGCCTCTTCTCCTGTGAGAACCCCATGGCTATGGGAGGCCTCCAGTCGCTGCATGGCCTTACCAGGGCTATGGGGAACATCACGGTTGCTTGTAAGGGTAAGCTTGAGGTTCCCTCCAACCCAGGCTGAGCTCCAGCTTCCCTCTGAAAGGCCAGGGCTGCTGTCCCTGTCCCTAGGGGCAGTGAACTGTGGAGTGCAGGACTGGCACCCGGAGTTCTGGAATGTAGACTCAATCGTGCCCCACAGACACCATGGGCAGGGTTGTCAGACCTGTGCACCCCTCACCTGCAACCCACTGTTGTCTCTGTTTTGTCCCCACATCCCCTCCTATAACACCGCTGGGTGTAAACCACGCACCCTTGTGCTGATGACCTCCCTGCAGCCGGAGAACTTGCTCCTGGCCAGCAAGTGCAAAGGGGCCGCAGTGAAGCTGGCAGACTTTGGCCTGGCTATCGAGGTGCAGGGGGACCAGCAGGCATGGTTTGGTGAGTGCCTGGGGCAGGAGGTGTTGGCCTGCGGGGATGGAGGGGAAGATGCCAATAGTCCCTCGAGGCCTCTCACAGCCCCTTCCCCTCTTGCTAGGGTTCGCTGGCACACCGGGCTACCTGTCCCCTGAGGTCCTTCGCAAGGAAGCGTATGGCAAGCCCGTGGACATCTGGGCGTGTGGTGAGGCCTGGCACATGGCGAGGTGGGGCCTTGGGGGGCTCTAGGGGGAGTGTGAAGGGGACTGGCTGTGTGTGAAGGGCAAGACCCAGGCCTGGGCCCAGGGACCTGTAGCCTGACTGCCCTTTGCTGGTCTTTAAGCGGTTCTCCCTGAAGCCCAGTTCTCCCTGAGCCAGGATGATCTATCTGTATTCGACCTGCCTTTGAGCTGCCCCAGCTGGGATCTGCCCACACAGCCCAGAGCCCGCTCCCCACCCAGATTAGAACTGCTGATATGAGCCCTGGCCCATCACCCAGTGTTCAGCAGAGGTCTGGGCCAGAAAGATCCTGGTTGGGGGCAGGAGTGGCGAGATCAGAGGCTGTCAGGCCACTGGCAGTGCCACCTCCTTGCATGGGGATCTCCTCCCACACAGGATCAGTGGAGGGGGCTGGCCTCAGGCCTGCCATGAAGTCGTGTGGGGGCTGCTTGTGCCATGCTGCCCACGTGTCTGCTGCAAGGGGAGGGGCAAGGAACACTGAGGACCCTGGTGTCCTCGCAGGGCCATGGGGGCCCAGGGCATGGGCTCCAGGGGTGGTGGTGCCCTGCGTGTGCTGTGGTGCTCACGGGCTCTGCCCACAGGCGTGATCCTGTACATCCTGCTTGTGGGCTACCCACCCTTCTGGGATGAGGACCAGCACAAGCTGTATCAGCAGATCAAGGCCGGTGCCTACGATGTGAGTGCACTGGGACCCCTGGTCTGACCCGCTCCCCTCTCCAGGTGGGGGCAGGCGGGGACAGCCTGGGAAAAAAGACACCTGGGGCCAAACCCTGAGTCCCACTTTCCCAGTTTCATGGCCAGAGGTAAAACTCCTCAGAGAATGCTGTCCCTGCTTGGGGAGGGGACCTCAGAGCCGCCTGTGCATCGTTTCCTTCTGCAGTTCCCATCCCCTGAATGGGACACCGTCACTCCTGAAGCCAAAAACCTCATCAACCAGATGTTGACCATCAACCCTGCCAAGCGCATCACAGCCCACGAGGCCCTGAAGCACCCGTGGGTCTGCGTGAGTCGTCCTTGGGGCCTGATGAGCTGGGGGTGGAAGAGGGCTCCTGATGGAGGTGGCCTCAGGCCACTCCTCTAGCACTCAGGAGGATCCTGGGGTCCTGTTCCTTGAACCTGACAGCTCCCCTGGGTCTTCTGGGTGCTGGGTACTCCTCCTGGTCTCTGGCTTGGGACATGCCAGTGGGGTTGTGAGGTCTGGGGCTTGGAGAGTGTTAGAAGGTAGAAAAGACCCCATCCTCCTAGCCTAGTTCTGCCTGAGGGACAGAGAAGGTGAGGCCAGTGAGGGACAAGACTTGAAGTCACAGGCAGGTGGGGACAGGCCATGAGGACAGGTGGACTCTCAGCACTTGGGGGCCTCAGAGTGCCGAAAGCCCTGCTACCCTGGCCTCTCCCCTGCCCCACGGGCTCCTGGCTGCTGGTGACGCCACCTCTCCCCACAGCAACGCTCGACAGTAGCCTCCATGATGCACAGACAGGAGACTGTGGAGTGTCTGAAAAAGTTCAACGCCAGGAGGAAGCTCAAGGTGAGGCTCCAGCCCCTAGCGCCTGGCACCACTGTGCTTCCCTGTGTCCCTACAGTGCCCCTTGCTTGAGGGATGGGGGCTGGAAGGATCCAAGCAGGCCCACAGGTCCCTGCTGCCCCCGGATTGATTGTGTTGGCAAGTCCCAGACCAGATGCGTCAGGTGAACTCAGTCCTGCTTGGGAACAAGCCCAGAGGTACCCTGGAATCAGGTGAAGCCCCTTCCAATAGTCCGTGCTGCCTATGGGCAGCCCTTGAAGGGCAGTCCTGAGTGCTCCCCGTGGGTCCCCCACCTGGGGCTCTGTGGGCACCTCTAGCAGTCACGCTAGCAGTCACGTGCCCTCTAGTACGAGTTAGTCCAGAAGCTTCTGGCCCATACAGGTTTGGTAAGGAGAGCAGAGCCGAGTGCTGGTCTTGGTGGACTGGGGGAGGTCAGGAAGGGAGCCTGGGCAGGAATATGGTGCCTGACCCATCTGTGTTGGCCAGGGCTGGCTCTGACTGTCGCTGCACGGTGTGACCTGGCTGTTTCCCTGCGTTGCTTGGTACTGAGGGCAAGGCCCAGGCCTGGGCTCAGGGACCTGTGGCCTGACTGCCCTTTGTTGGTCTCTGAGCAGTTCTCCCTGAAGCCCAAGGATGACCACCACTGCTCTGGGCCTGTTAGGGAAAGAAGGTGCTGTCGGGGAGCTGGACCCCAGAGGAGCTGCCATGGTGACCAGTGGTCCTGAGGCTCAAAATTAGAAGCTGTGGCCAGTCAGCAGACTTAGGGTCCAGAGTATTTTAATTCTGGAAATAGGTGATCTGTCTTGGTGCAGCTGCCAGGTTCCTGAAATTCTTGCCTCTGTGGAAGACTGTGATCGTGTCCTGCCAGGCACCTGAGGGGCTGGGCATCTGGGTGGGCAGACGAGGTTCTTCTCCTGGCCAGAAGCCAGCAGGGGACACTAACAGGACAGCCCTGCCTTTATCTGTGTCTCTCCCCAGGGGGCTATCCTCACCACCATGCTGGCCACACGGAATTTCTCAGGTGAGACGTTCTCCAGGGAGACAGAAGTTGCCCCATCCCTGCAGGCCTGGGCAGGAGGGCTCCTCCTTTCTTACCAGCCCCCCAGCCCCTCTTTGTGCCCGGCCTCTGCCCTCAGTTCCGAGACCCCACTGCTCACCTGGCCCTGTGGGCTCCCTCCTTGGGCAGCCTCCCAGGTCCAGTCCCTCCCCCAGCCCACCACCTCTGTGCTGGGTCTGTGTCCCCTCCCCAAATGTGAGCGTCTGTGCTGCCCACCACTGGGGCTCGCAGCACCGCGTGTGTCTGTCCAGGCGTTTGTCGGGCATCTCTGTGGCCTCCTCGTTGTTTTGAGCGCTCTGAGCACCGTGTTGTGTGGGGAGGTGGGCAGGAGGGCTGTGGGGCGATGTGGGAGGCTCCGGGACCTCCTTCTGAGTTCTGGATGAGCTGCTGCCGCCTGCTTCCGTTGCTCAGGGTGGGTGGTGGGGAAGCGAGGTCTCTGGGGGGTCTGTTAGAGACCCCCGAGGCTCAGGGCTCTGGCAGATCCACAGGGGGATGGCGTTACCCCCGAGTGGAGCCAGCAGCCCAGGCCTGGATGAGCTGTGCCAGGGCCTCTCCGTCGTCCGACACTCAGTGTGCGAGCGTCTGTGATCCGTCTCTTGTTGTCCGTTTGCATCTGGCGCCCTCTCCCTACCCCCATCCTGTTACTTTTGCTGTGACACTGTACTGTCAGGAACAGGTGCATATGGTTACACCAACACCAGTAGGACTGTCCTGTCTGCTGTGAGCCCACCATGCCCCAGCGGGCACGAGAAGCCCCCGCTGGGGTTTTCTAAGGAGAAAGGCGACAAACGCTTTTCAATGTCCTTCAGCCCAATCTTGTTTTCACTCTCTTGAGAAAAGGATTCTGGAACCATCTGTCACCTAAACTTTAACTCTAATCTTCTTCTGCTTCCTTTGTCTCTTTTCTTCCCTTACCTCGCCCACCCCTCGTCTGTGTCCGCCCATCCCTCCCTCCCCCTCGTCTCTAACCCGGTGCTAACAGTGGGCAGACAGACCACCGCTCCAGCCACAATGTCCACCGCGGCCTCCGGCACCACCATGGGGCTGGTGGAACAAGGTAGATGTGTCTTGACCAGCGTCCCACCCGCTCCTTCCCGCCCCTTCTGCCAGCATGCAGCCCCCTGCTGCACGCAGCTGCTGGCTAGGCTCCAGAGCCGCCCCAGAGGCCGCTGGGCCCCGGGAGTCCTTGCTCCCGTGTGGTCACGTCCCTGCGGAACCCGCTGCGAGGACAGGGAGGCAGCCCCCCAGACTCCTCATATATAAGAGGAGGAGCTGGGCTAGGTGACCCTGGGCCACACCAAGCCCCTTGGCCCTAGCTGCTGGGGTCTGGGGTCCTGGAGACCCCTGTTCAGAATGGCCTTGACTCCCCAGGGAGCCATGGAGCCTGCTGCTCGGAGGTCTGAGTCCTGAAAGGAGAGCCCTGGGAACAGGGCCAGAGAGGCAGAGGCGCTGCCCCGAGGGAGCAGTGGGGCTCATGGCCAGTCCCTCCCTCGAGGCAGACCCACAGCCCGCCCCTCAGTGGTTGCGCGGAGCTGGTGGTCTGTGCTGCTGAGTCCCATACATGCATGTCTGCCCTGAGAATTCCCCCAGAACAGGCTGCTCGGCAACCAGGGGGCTTCAGGTTTTCTGAGGTGACTTTTAAGGCCTCCTCTTGGGTGCTTCTACACAGCCTCCTCACCTGGCCCCAAACCACGAGGAGAGAAGGTTGGCTCTGCCCACCAGCTCCTCTGGACCATGGGGGCCAGACATCCCTACCCACAGGAGCTGGGGCCAGAGCCCAAAGGCTTAGGTTGACTCCTGGCCACCTGCTGGCTTGTGACTGCGGGCAGACCCCGTGAAGACCAGAACCTCCTGATGGACTCCATAGCTACAGCCTAATCTGAGGGATGGCAGAAGTTTAGGGCAAGCCGAACCAGCCACAGCTGGCCATGGAGCACATGGGACTGACCCCTTCCTGAGCTGAACTGCAGATTCCTGTCGCTGACTCCGGCATGGGCTGGGGCAGGGCAGACGTCCCAGGCTGCTGGAGACTGTCCTCTCCAGAGCCACCTTGGCTCCCCCCATGACCCCACAGGATGAGTAGCCTGGCCTTGCTCTTGGTGGGGAAGGGGGTCAGGCGGTCCTTGGGGAGAGCAGTTTGTTCTCCTCCCGTGACCCCTGTCACGTGTCTGGTGGGCAGCACCCTGGGAGGGCTGTCCTGGGTTGGCTTCCTTTGCCAGGCCTTTCTGGAGCACAGGCGGGAGAGAGCTGGGGCTAGAAAAGGATGAGGCCAGTGGCGCCTGGGGAGGCCTGCTGCCCAGGGGACAGAGCCGAGCGATAGCCACCTCTGTGCCACCCTCTGCCCGGGGCTCCCGCTGCAACGCCCGCCTGCTGCAAGTGAACGTGGGGCGACGGTGCATGAGGCCCGTGCATGTGCGGCTCTGGCCTGGGCACCAAAGGCCACTGTGTCCTGAAGGGTGGTCAGTGCATGTGGACAGAGCCCAGCATGGCTGTCCAGGGCGACCAGCTAGGGGTGAGGCAGAGGTGGGGCTGAGGGACCACTTACCCACTGGGTCAGTCCAGCTCAGCCATACCCCATAGGTATGTGGTGGGGGTCTCACTTCGTGGATGACGGCCAAGTCTGGTACCGTCTGGTCAGACCTCCCGTGTGGCATAGTCCCCTTGGCCAGCAGGGAGGCCCTGTCTGTAGAGCATTTGCTGTTTGGCCTCCACAGTCTTTCCTACGTGGAGACCCACGCTGTCTGGCAGTGTGGCAGCAGTCGTGGCAGCCTGGAGACCCCAGGGATTGGTAGTGCCCTCCCAGGGTGGCAGAGGGTCTCTCCTCATCCTCCAAAGGCCTGCAGAGCCCCAGCCTGGGTGTCTGGAATGTGGTCCACCCTGGGATCCTGCTGTACCTGACACGTGCATTTATTTATTTATTTTTATTCTTATTTTTTGAGTTGGAGTCTCACCCTGTCGCCCAGGCTAGAGTGCACCGGCATGCTCACGGCCACTGCAGCCTCGACCTGCTGGGCTCAGATGATCTTTCTGCTCCAGCCTTCCAAGTAACTGGAACTACAGGCGCGTACCACCAAACCAGGCCAATTATTTGTGTATCTGTTTATTTTTATTTTTTTGTGAGAAGAGGTCTTGCCATGTTGCCCAGGCGGGTCTTGAACTCCTAGGCTCAGGCAATCCTCTCACCTCAGCCTCCCAAAGTACTCTTGAAAACTTTGAGCACGAGTGTAGTTGAGAATCAGCAGGATTCTGGCTACTGTGAACCTGGAGCTAGTCCAGCACAGAGACATGACTGTCCAGGAGATGAGGGACCCCAAGAAAAGCGTGCTCAGGAGCCATGCGCCCAGGACAAGGATGAGCCCCGCCTGTGTGCCTCACACTGTGCCCAAGGCACGCACAGGCGAGAGTTTAAAAGGGATTCACCAGGAAGGCTGTTTGGGGACTGATTGAAACGACGGGGATGTCTGCTGCTGGGCTTCCCAGAGCTTCCGCCGCAGCAATGGCCTTAGTCCTCAGAGGAGGGTCTGTGTGTCTGAGGTGTTTCCCACCTGCTTGGCTGTGAACTTCTGCCTTTTACTTTCCGCTGATGCTCTTCACACCTCCAGTAGCAGTTTGAAAATGTGGGTTTTAATAGACTCGGGGACCTAAATGGAACCCTCTTAGGACCAAGGACTATCCCAGGGTCTCCATCAATCCCACTCATGGGCCTAATGGAGGTGCCCCCTTTCCTGTGAGAATCATCTGTGGACAGACCCGGGGGAAAAGCCCAATTCCGCCGCCGCCGCCGCCAAGGGTGCCACACTGGTGCTGGGTAGACCAGTAATAGCTTGTGCTGGTTCCAACCCAGGACCCAGCTGGAAATGCCACCAGGTTGGCCAAGGCTTTCCTCACGGAGGTGGGGTCAATGCCGCCCATTTCCTTGGCCGCATCTTTGAAATGTGTGTTTCTGGGGGGACAGGGTTCCCTCCCCTGCTGCTCAGCTCCCCACAAGTGTCTTAAGGTGAGGCTGGATGTCTCTTTCCTCAAGACCTGTGAGGAGCCCATTCCCCCAGTTGTGTAAGGCAGTTGGTCACCAACAAGGACAGAGACCCCCCAGCTGCAGTGTCACCAGAGCCCAGCCCCTACTCCCACTCCAGATAGCCCAGGCCAGCTGGCACTGGGCAGATGTTTCTGGGCTGCGCTGTGTGTGTTGGAGACAGGGAAAAGAGGAGAGAGGGTGGGATCCACAGACAGATGCGGGGGCTGTGCTGGGCCAGGAGCCACGAGCTCTGAGTCTCCATGGCTGGCCTGTCCCTCTGTAGTGAGTTACAGGGAGGCAGATTTTAGCTGCAATGAGGGGGAGTTTTTCCTAGATTGCACTGTAGGGAAGTGGGCAGTCGGCATTGCTACTCCTGGGACCACACTGAGCAAAGCTGCCCTGGGGCATCAGGGAGGTGGTCCTGCTGCAGAGTCCACAGGTGGACGCTGAGGCCCAGGAGGATGAAACGCAGGGGTCAGGCCCAGGGACAGGAGAGTGATGCCCAGGTATCTACACTTTCCCGGGAGTCAGCTCCATGGATCCCGCAAGGGACTGCTGGGCTTGATACGAAAATTTTGAGAGTTAAGATCCATGAGGGAGGGGAGACTGTGAACAGAAACTATGTGCCTGGGGCCATGTGCAGCCACCAGGCAGTGGTGACCCATGTCATTACAGAGCCCCAGAGAGACCATACCAGGGAGGACGCAGCAGTGGGCATCGGGGAGGAAGTGGTCAGCAGGCAGGGGGGCTCAGGCCTGTCAGTGCCGAGGGTGAGGCCTCCTGGTCTCTGAAATAAACTGGAGGACCCAGTCAACCCGCCTGGAGGACTTGTGAGCAGATGCCTGGCGCCTCAGAGAAACTGACTCAGGAGGACTGAGTGGGCCTGGGAATGTGCATTTCTGATCATACAGGGCAATGCTGCTGCACTGCTGCTGCTGCCACTGCTCAGGGGGACCCCACTTAGGAACCGCGGCAAATCCCAGCCTGAGTGTGCCTGTCTGTTCCCAGCAGGAAAGGGTCCCAGTGTCCTGTGTCCCTGCTCAGGCCCATGGGCAGCATGGGGTCCCCCTCTAAGCTGCCAGGAGAACCAGACTTCAGGGCCTGGCCAGCCGGTGTCCTAGACCCAGGCAGGTGGGGGAGGGGTGCTGTGCCATCTTCCTTCTGAGCTTGGCCCAGGGGCGAGGGACCCACAACCCCCACGTCGTCATCCCCTGGCGCTGCGGGTCCAGCCTGGCTGCTTCTCTCACCTGCTGCACCGGCCAGCATGGCTGGCTCTTCTTGGTGAGCGCGGTCCAGGCTGGTTCGTGCTCACTGGGTCCTGGGCCCGCAGACTCGCGCTCCCTGCCTGAACCAACACAAATCTTGTTTTCTCTCTCTCTTCCTTCCTCACTCTCTCCCCTTCTCACCCTTCCTTTTCTGTAAGGTAAGCTGGCTTTCTTTTTTCTTTTTAGTTCTGTAACTTACATTCTGTCCCCCACAGAGGGTGTGGATGCTGGGGCTGGAGCCAGGCCCACCCTGGCCTCCATGGGAGAGTGTTGGGGGGAGGTGGGAGCCTGGGTGTCCTCAGGGGCTGTGGGCAAAGAGGCCTGTGTTGGCCCCAACCAGTGCCTGCCAAGAAGCTGCCTCAAGGCCTGGGCTGCCAGGGGCGGTTCAGGAGATAGTGTGCTGAGCAGAGAGGGTGCAGAGCTCAGTATCCTGAGCAAGGATGGGACAAGGAGGAACCAGGAGGCTGAGAGAGGCCGAGCCCCTCTGTGTGGGTAGCCAGTGCAGCCCACCTACCCCTGCCCTGGGAACTTAGAGATCTGGGGACGGCATCTCAGGTGTCTCTGGCTCAGCTGCATCCCGTTCCCAACCTGCGCCGCCAGTCCTGTGTTTCCATCATGGGAGGGGTCAACCTCCCACCTTCCTCTTAGATGAGCATGCACGTGGCCCAGAAGCCAAGGGGCACAGGATTGGGAGGCTCCCTAGCACCCATGGGCGCCTCTGGGAGAGGAGAAATCTTGGTACCCTGTAGGAGCCACAGAGTCGTGGAGGATTGGCTGGGGGACAGCCGTGTCCTGGGGTGACAGGACAGTCTGGCTGCTAGCTCAGAGCCAGACCAGGTGCCATAGGCACCTGCCTCAGGACCGGGGCCTCGCTCCTGGGGAAAGAGCAGAGGCAGGCCAAGGGGTGGGGTGGGCTGCAGCCAGACCCAGATCCGTCACTCACGACGCCTTCTTCCCTCCCAATGCAGCAGCCAAGAGTTTACTCAACAAGAAAGCAGATGGAGTCAAGGTGAGGTGCTGGCTCGGCCCTGGGGTGCCCGGGGTCCAGAGCCTGTAGCTTCACCCCTGCCTCCTGAGGCTCCCGCTGTGGGGGGATCCCTCTCCTCCATGCCCAGGGCAGACATGGGAAGGGGAGTGGCATGCTGCCTCTTTCCCACCTAAGGGCTCCTCTTCCCTCTCTCCACAGCCCCAGACGAATAGCACCAAAAACAGTGCCGCCGTCACCAGCCCCAAAGGGACGCTTCCTCCTGCCGCCCTGGTACTGAGCTCCTCAGCCCCTGCCTTTCAGCCCCTCCTGCACCTCCAGCTGTGTGGTTGCCACTGGTCAGAGGGGCCCGGTGAAGGTGGGGTCTGGCCCCCACCCAGCCTGTCAGCACACTCCTGGGCCCCTGCCCCTCGTCCCTCACTGCGCTGAGGGTGGTGGAGTGGAGGGTTTGGTCCCCCCAGAGGAGAGGCCATTGTCACAGGGCTCCGGGTTCAGGAATGTTCAGGGCTGTTCTTGGGAGTCCTCTCCTGAGACCCAGAGATGCTGGGATACAGGGAGAGGCCCTGGCTCCCACCCACACTGACTTGTGGGTGTCTCCCCAGGAGGCCTTCAGGAGGTCAGTGAGGCAGAGGGCACCTCTTCCCCCCAGGGACCCCCACCCTCAGTTCCTCCACTACTCTCAACAGGCCAATGCAGATACCACAGCCAGGGTCTGGCTTGGAGGGATCTGGAACGGGCTCTATAGGGGAATAGCCCAGAGCAGCATGTCCCATGGGCCAACAAGGCCACGATTGTGCAGTGGGGAGGTGTCTGGGCCAGTAGTGGCCAGGATGGGCTTACCATTAGGATCAGTGTGTCCCTCACGAGCCATACAACCTTGCTGATATGTGGCTGCCTGAGAGGCAGGGCTCAGGGCTCCCTGTGGGGGAGAAGTGGGGTACCCATGACATTTCTACTGTGCCCCTCACTGCCTCTCAAAAGGGTGCCCAGCCAGCTCTGACCCCCTTACCCTGGGGACCTCCTATCCAGGTGAACTCCACAGCAGTGCTCCCAAGGATACGGAGCTGTCACCAGTGGACGCTGACCTTCCTGCCGGGACACTGTGCTGTGTTCCTTAGGGGACAGATATCCCCTAAACTGTCCCAAGAGGTTTGGGGTTTGCTGGCCCACAGATTCCTGAGTTTTCTGGAAGTGTGCTTTGTGTCTCACAGGTGGCCCAGGCCAGGCTCCTGGGAGCCAGCCCCAGAATGCCCGTGGGAAGCTGGGTTTGCCAAATGGACTCCCTGAGCCCCAGAAGAGGAGAGCTGTCCTGGGAAGGGGAGGAGCTGCTCAGAGCAGCTGGGCATGGCAGGAGGACAGCCTGGTGCCAGCTCACCTAGGGCCCCCCAGCAGGGTGGCCCACACGCCGGCCTCACAGCCAGCCCCCTCTCAGACCCCGTCCATCCCATGTGCCACCCCCAGCCCATGACATCTTCAGACCTGTGCCCCCCATGCTGGGGCAAGGGTTCAGGCAGCAAAGGGTGGGAGAGAACCCTCTAAGGCCGAGCCTGGCTTTTCTGGCTCCCACAAGCATCATGCAGCTTCTCAGGGCCCCACGCTGCCCATCACTCTCCCTGGACGGCAGGCACCTCTGCCAGCCTGGACAGAGCGCCTGTCCATTCCATCCTGCTGGTCAACCCCAGGCTCCTCCCCCTACCCGCTCCGCTGCCTCGTCCATCCCTGTCCCCTCCTCTGCTCTGCACTCTCTCCTCTCTCGCAGGCTCTGGCCACCCACGCCTCCTCTGTCTCCCTTGCTCCCCTCCTGGTGATCTCCGCCGCCTCCTCTTCTCACTCTCCCTCTCTTTCCTTCCTCTGTGTCTTCCTTCTTCTGTAGGAGCCTCAAACCACCGTCATCCATAACCCAGTGGACGGGATTAAGGTATTGCTGCCTCTTTCGTCCTCACTCTTTCCTCAGGCAGGAGGCCCCGGGGCCCAGGAGAGGGGTCTGGGGCAGCATTTGTGCCAGGAGTGGAGGGCAGATGTGCAGTGGCCCTGGCCACCACTCCTCACTGCAGGGCAGAACCCCCTGTGTGGGCCACAAGAGGACAGACCTTGGCTCCGCCCAGGCATACCCTCAGAAGCGCCCGGCCCTGCGTGGCCAACGCTCTCAGGCCAGGGCTCTGAGTGGGCCACTCACTGCAGGCAGGGAGCCAGGGCTCCCTGAGGTCTGGAGTGGGGTTCACATCTCAGGAACTGCGTCCTTGCCCCTCCTAGCTGTCCTCTTCCCCTCCATTCCCTTGCGTGGCCCCCAGCGCTTCCTGCTGAGCAGACCCTCCCTTTCCTGCTCTCCCTCTCTGCTCTGGCCATCAGCTCCCATCACATTGGCATCATCACCCTGGGGCCAGGGAAGGGGCTGGCTCTCCGGGGTGGTGGGAAGGACAAGACGGGCAGCCAAGTTGTTTCCAGGACTTTCAGGACGGCACAGCCCCACCCGGCCAGGCCCTCCAGCCAGGCTTCCTCCTGGGCCTGGGTTCCTTAAAGAGCCTTCAGAGTGCCTCCATGGGGACCCCCACTACCTCCTGGCCAGTACCACCACCCAGCCCATCATCAGAAGATACCTTTCTCCATGGCATGGACTGGGCTTCCAAGGTGCATCCAAGGTGCTAGGCAGCCAAAGACCTGGGCTTCCTCCCTGCCTGGTGGCCAGGGATGAGTGTTCTTGGGACCTGTGTGCATCTGGGACAGGTCGGGTTCTCCCTGCATGGGCCCTCAGCCTTCCAGACTTTGGTAAACCCTGTCCCTACACCTGAAGACCCCAGTCTGGTCTAGGGCCCAGAGCAGTATGTGCAGACAGTGCCCAGACCAGGAGTGGTCCCCGGGAACCTCTTAAGAGGAGCAGAGCCGGCCCCCTGAAGACTTTGGTGACAGGTGGATGGTCTTTTGATACGCAGGGCAGCAACCCTTGAGTGGGGGGTGGGGGGTGGGACTGGACCACCTCTGCCATCAAGGCCACCTGAGAGGGGAGATCAGGGCCTGGCTGGATGTGTGGTCTTGGAGGGGGCAGATGGCACCGCAGGGGTCTCACCTCTCCTGGAAGAGGGGATGTAGGGGGTAGGTGTGCTTTGCCTGGGGCCAGGCCAAGGTTTCCGGAGCTCCACAGAGGCCCACAGACCTACTGGAAACTTCTCACCCTGTCTTCTGCCTGCACCAGCTACCGGGCTCCTTCTGCTTCATCAGGAGCCATTTGAGTCCTACTGTGTTTTTAAAACTATCTTAGACGTTTTGAAACTTGCTTCCCACTCTTGTTAAAGAGTCTCCTGAACATATCGGTCTTTCTGCCAGGCATGCTTGTTGGGAGAAGTCGAGCCCTCGTTTGTTGGGGGTGTAGGACTATTGCAGCCCCAGGGTGGCAGGGTGGGCCACCATGTGAAAGTGCCCTGGTGAAGGATGCCCTCCTGGGGACCGGCACAGAGCTGGGAACCCTCTCCGATCACTGCTGCATGAGGGTTTTCAGGGCTGGGGCCTTGCAACTGCGGGGGCATGTCCCCTGTGCCCCTGGCCTTTAGGCCTGGTCGAAGCATCCAGGGAAGAGGCCTGTCCGGAAGCCCAGGCTGGTCCTGCCACAGGCCCAGCCCTGTTCACCCGCCCTCAGCTGCATCCTGACCTGCTGCCTCCCCATGTTTCCTCAGGAGTCTTCTGACAGTGCCAACACCACCATAGAGGACGAAGATGCTAAAGGTACCTGCACTTGAGGTCTTGTCCCTGAATGGCCTCAGCTGTGCTGGGCTGCTCTTTGAGGAGGGTGGGATTTCAGTAGGGTCAGCTGTCCTGCACACCAGGTGTCTGTGCTACCAGGCCCAGTGGCCACAGACTCGCTCTGAGCCTGGGTGTCAGACCTGCCCGTGTGTGGGCAGTGTGGCAGAGACGACCGGTGGCCGGGCAGTCTCAGTGACAGCGTTCAAGTGAGGAAGCCATGACCTTGGGGTACGGCTAGTTCTCACTCAATCCAGGGATCCTGGAGCTCAGCTCCCACAGGGTAGCAGCTTCATGGACAGAATATGTTCAATGACACTGTTGTTCTTTTAAAGTTTCTTAAGCTTGTGATTCTGTCCAGCTTGCACTTGCTGAGTGACCGGGCAGCGAGTGGGTGTTTCCATGTTTACCTTTGCTGACTCTGGAGCCTCCTTCTGCCATCGCTTCTGTGCCACCCCATCCTCCACCCCAGGTCCCTCCCCACACTGAGCCAGGCCAGTGTCTTGCGTGCCCCTAAAAGGACTCCAGGACACTCAGCACTGGGGCGTGCTCCCCCGGGATGGGGCCTGCTACCTCTAGGCTGCCCACATGGGACCTCCTGACCCTCAGTGGTTATGCGGTCACACACATAAGCCCTGAGCTGCCCTCAGGACTGCCCCAGGGGCCCAACGGGGTCAGCTGCTCTGCCCATTTGGGGAAGAAAACGTCTTACCTGTCTGATGCACAGCCTTACTCCTGCCCCCTTACCCAGTTTTGACGCTGTCCGTAATCATCCTCCACACTCTGGAGCAGAAATGAGCACAGGACTTTGGGCCCTGGACACCAGAGAGTGGATGTTGGTGTGATTTCCCAATAGACTGAAACAGGCCCCAAGGTCAACAGCATGATGGCCATCAGACCTCCCCTTTCTGGGGTTCTGGCCCTATCCCCGGCCCAGTGGGTTGGAAAGAGCCTGAGGGGTAAGCCAGGCCTAGGGTCTGCCGGGGAAGAGGAGAGAACAAACCAAGCAGCCAGCAGACGTGGCTCGTAACTAAGGCCCAAGCAGACTCTTGGGGCAGGGCAGGCACCCCCTAGTTCAGGAGGGAGCCTCACCAGGCTGCCCTGGGACTTGTATAGAGTCAGGGCAATCCCAGTGGCCGTCACTTCCTCTCTCTCCCTGGGCCTGGCCTCTGCTGGCTCCGGCCAGGGGCTGCCGCATGCAGCCCTGCTGGCCTTGGCAGGTGGCCCCAGAGGCACAAGCCCTGTGTAGGCTGCTTCAGCCTTCATGTACCTGCTGCAGCCGCCCCAGGCCCTGGGGACCCACAGAATGACCACTCCGCTCTGCCCCAGGAGCCTCTAACCGTGGTCTGGGGTTCTCCAACTGTAACCTCCCTCCTCCCTCTCTGGTCCTCCCTCTGTCCTATTCCTGTCACCTTCGCTTCTTGTGGGTCCCCTGCCCAACTCCTGCCTCGTCTGTTCCACCCCAGCCCCCAGGGTCCCTGACATCCTGAGCTCAGTGAGGAGGGGCTCGGGAGCTCCAGAAGCTGAGGGGCCCCTGCCCTGCCCATCTCCGGCTCCCATTAGCCCCTTGCCGGCCCCATGTAAGTAGCCCGGGCCCTGATGCTATGGGGGTCACTTGGAAGGGCCTGGCAACCCTGCTCTGAGGGGTCACTCTAGAGCCAGGGGCAGGCTGAGCTTGGAGTCTCGGTTCTAGTCCCGTCCCCTCCACAGCCCCCAACACCGGGGCTTCCCAGAGCTGCCTCTGCCCAGCCAGCTCCACCTCCGTGTGAGATGAGTCCTGGCTCACTTTCTGGCTCAAGGCTTCTGGGCAGTACAGGAGGCCCTGGAGGCCCAGGCCTCAATTCCACAGCGTCCAGGGCTGGCCCAAGCCTAGCTCCACCTCAGCTCCAGGGGCTTCTTGCTTTTGAGACATGCCCCGATTTGGGGCCTGACCCCAGGGTCCGTGGGGGCTAGAACGGGGCCTCTCCTTCCCCGTCCCTGCTCTGCCGCCCCCTCCTACGTCTGTCTGCCTCGTGTTCACGTCTCGTCTATTCCACCCCAGCTCCCAGGATCTCTGACATCCTGAACTCGGTGAGAAGGGGCTCAGGAACCCCAGAAGCCGAGGGTCCCCTCTCAGCGGGGCCCCCGCCCTGCCTGTCTCCGGTTCTCCTAGGCCCCCTGCCCACCCCGTGTAAGTAGTCCTCCCCAGGGCCTGCTGCCTCTGCTGCCAGAGGGCTCCCTGCGAATGGCCGGCGCTCAGCAGCTTTCCGCGCACGGCCCAGCTCTCCCAGGTCCGGCGTCCTGCCCTGGCTGGCTTCCGCTGGGGTTCGCGCTAACTCAGAGACCAGCTCCCCAGCTTCTCCCTCTAGGGGCCTGGCCCCCTCCATGGCTCCCATCCCACCCCCCACTGCCCACCTGGCTGTCCGGCCCCAGGTCTTTCCCGGGCGGGGCTGTCCCACATCTGGGCAGCACCCAGTCCCCTGTACCCCCGGCCGTACCCCTCAAGCTGTCTCGGCTGAGACACTTCCCCAGCCCCACTGACTTTGCACACAGCCTGCAGTGCCCTGGCCACAGTGCCCAGGAACCTGCTCTCAGTGCTGCCCTGATCTCTTCCTCAGTCTAGGGGGCTGAGAAGGTGCCAGAACTGGGACCCTGGTTGGGGCCCCAGGGCCTACTACAGAGAAGTGAGGCCTGGCCTCTGCTGACCTGGGGCTGTCCACACGGGGCCGGGCCAGCCCTCCTCTGTACCTCCCTTCCCTCCCGCATCCTCCTTTGTCCCACTGGCCAGCACAGCCCAAGGGCCACTTACCTGACAGCTTTTTGTGGGCCAGGGTGCCTCTTCCTAGAGGGTATCCTCTGCCCACAGCAGCTTCCAACCCCGCTGCCTGGACAGACGGAACATCTGCCCTTCATTCCTGGAGCCTCCTCCCCACACACCCTCTGTCCCCCATGGCCCCCTCCCCCATCCCCGCTCTGTTCCCCAGGTCCCCCTCTGTCCTCACAGTTCTGTCCCCCACACCCCCCTCTGTCCCCCACGCTCTTCTCTACCACCCACATCCCTCCTCGTCCCCTACCCTTCTCTGTGCCCCAAAACCTCTCTGTCCCCCACATCCTCCTCTGTCCCCTATACCCTCCTCTGTCTCCCATATCCCTTTGCCTTCCCCAGGTCCACCCTCTTCCTCTGTGTTCCACTCCACCCTTCCCCACCCCCCCGTCTTCTTTGTGCCCCTCGCCCCCCCACATCTTCCCTCTGTCCTCCCCCTACTCTCTGGCTTGGCTGTCTGCCCATGAGTTTCTCTCCTGCGTGCTCCCCCCTCGCCTGCGTCGTGTTCACGTCTCGTCTGTTCCGCCCCAGCCCCCAGGATCTCTGACATCCTGAACTCTGTGAGGAGGGGCTCAGGGACCCCAGAAGCTGAGGGCCCCCCACCAGTGGGGCCCCCGCCCTGTCCATCTCCGACTCTCCCTGGCCCCCTGCCCACCCCATGTAAGTAGCACCTTGAGTGACCCTGGCAGCAGCTGCTTGGAGGGGCTCCCAGCGTGTAAGCCCCTGACTGGGGTACCCCTGCAGCCCTGCTCTGGGAAGGGCCAGCTCTGGGGAGAGGGTGGAGGGCCCAGGGTCCCTCTGCTGAGTCACAGGGAGTGGCATTGAAGCGCATCAACATGCCACTGGGTCTCAAAAAGTGGAGACTGTAGTTGTGAATTGTGTGTGCGTGTGTGGACATCCCTGCGTAGGAAAAGCATCCAGAACAGCGGGTTTAGAACTGACGAGGAGCACTCGCTGCCTTGTGGTCCAGGGCTTTCTCCCGATGAGAGGGGACTGTGTGGCAGAGGATGAGCAGAGGGTCCCCCGTGTGGCAGGGCCTCGGACACTGAGGTCAAGGGCGTACCTGCCTGGACAGAGATGGGAAAGAAACGGTTCTGGCCCAAGAAACCCTGGCACTGGGGCTGCCCCAGTTTGGGGAGCAGGCAGGGGCTGCAGTGAGTGTAGGCTTGGGGGAGCTGGGGCCGGGCTGAAGCACAGAGCGGGCGGGAGAGGCAGGCACAGGCTGGGCCGCCTCCCCGGGCAGGGAGGAGCCGGGCTGGGCCACCTCCCCAGCCTGTCTGCCGACTGCCCGGCGTATCACTTACAGGGATGGATGACATCCCGGGGCAGCAGCCACCGCCACCCCCACCTGCAGGGAGACACCGGGCTGGGGGGGGCTCTGAGATGCTCTCAGAGAAGAGGCTGCCGGGCCAGGGGCTCGGCATGGCAGGGCAGTGGCTGGGTGAGTACCTGGGTGCCAGGCGGGGTCTGCTCACCCCATCCCTCTGCAGGCCAAGCGGGGGTCGGAGGGGTTGCTGCAGGTGGCCAGGGCAAAGGGGAGGGAGGAGAGTGAAGCCACAGGAGCGGTGGACCGCAAGGGCGGGGGTAGGCGGCCTGCAGACTCAGAGGGGCACCATCTACCCCAGGCAGCCCGGGGGATGCAGGGCACTAACCCGCCCCCAAACCTTCTGTGGTCAACTGAGGCCCTCTGTGGGAGGTGGCTAAGGAAGAAAACAGGTTCTTGATGGTGGTGGTCGGGAGGGGGCTCTCAGCCGCAAGAGCTCAAGGTGGGAGGCACAGGGGAGGCTCAGTCATCAGCTGGGGTGGGTGCACAGTGGAGCCTCTGGGAGTGGTCAGAACCTGCACCCCCATTTCTACAGTGTCTCACCTGATATTAAGGGGCCTCGCATCCCTGGTGGTAGTGGAGAGGTGTGCCCAAAGGAGCTAGCCTGGAATGGCAGCCCAGGGCTGCAAACTGCCCTCAGGGTCTGTGCAATAGCCTGGCAGGGGGTGTGCTGAGGACAGGGCACCGTGGCGGGTACTGTGTGGCCAGGCCAGGGGTTGGCACCCCAGGCTCCCCTTTGGGGACCATTGTGCCACCTATTCCTTGTAGGTCTGTCCTGAGCTTGGCTAGGAGAGGTGGGGAAAGCAAGGGGCTGTAAGCAGGACTTGGTGGAGGTTCCTTTGGGCCTCCTGGGAAGGCCGGGCTGGACTAGGGGTAGGTGAGACAGTCCCCTGGAGAGAAAGTCCAGGGGCATTGCCCTGAGGGCACCAGTGCCCGGGTGGCTGGTGGTGTGCTCTGGGACGTCCTCCAGGCCACCTTCTCAGGAAGGTGCCCACAAGCTCTCTTTGTGTGGAAATAGGGCAGGTGCCCACTGGCCCACCTCAGACCTGGGCTCCTCCCCACCCTGGTGCTCCACGCGCCCCAGGCCACGCGCTTCCTAATCGGGGATTATGTACAATCCAGGCTGATCCCTGGGCAGCTGCCCTCTCTCCCGCAGCCCCCTCTGGCTCTGGGAGTTAGGGCTTGGGGCCAGCCTGGGGTCTCAGGAGTCCAGGGCGGGGTCAGAACCCGCTGTAGCCCCCCTCAGATGCCTTGGGCCTCTCTGGGTCTGTTGCTTCCCCTGTGAGAACCAGAGGCAGTGTGAGGCTTCGGTTCACCTCTGGGGACCTGGCCGTGCCAGCCCTGAGGCTCTTGGCACGGGCAGGTCACACCCAGGCCAAACCCCGTCCACCACCTCTGCTTTGTTCCTGGAGTTGCCAGGGGCTGGGGACAGCGCGTCTTCAGCTAACAGGCTTCATGCTGGACACCCCCATCCCCGCCGCTCCTTCCTGGGGATACTGATGACACAAAAGCACCCATGTGCTATTTGGGGAGACAGAACGGGGACTGGGTCGTGCTGGGGCTGGACAGCAGCCATTACGCAGGTCAGGGGCAGCCTCTGTTTCTCCATTTGTAGAATGGGTGAATGGCTCTCACAAGGGATCTGTCTCCCAAACGACAGCACAGTGACCACTTTTGATTGGAACCCTTACCCCGCATTTCCCGTTCACTTCACACTTCTCTTTACACAGACTCCCATTTTCAACCGCAGTCTGTTTAAGAGCGCTCCATATGACTTCATTAAACAGAAGATTAGCTTCACTTACCACGTGTGTAAGATGGCTGTAGGACCAAAGTAGACAGGAAACAAAACAAAGCGGTCACCCAATTCCAGCGGCAAGAGGCTGTGCACCCAGGGCCCCCTGTGGAGGGGGATGGGCAGCTCTCTTTGTCTGTTAAAAAGGGAAGTCCGAGCCGGGTTCGGTGGCTCAGCCTGTCATCTTGTGCCTTTGGGAGGCTGAGGTGAGTGGATTGCCTGATCAAAAAATCAGCCGGGCATGGTAGCGCATGCCTGTAATTCCGGCTACTTGGAAGGCTGAGGCAGAAGGATGGCCGGAGCCCAGTGGGTCGAGGCTGCGGTGGCCGGGAGCGGCCGCTGCACTCCAGTCTGGGCGACAGAGTGAGACTCCAACTCAAAAAAAAAAAAGGGGTAAGTCTGCAAGTGTCGGGGGTGTTTGGGACATGTGGACACCGCAGACTTCCCCCTCGATGTGATTAGGGAGCAACCAGACAGCCCAGAGGGCCAGCTCTGGGGCTGGCAGGGGGACCAGCTGCAGGTGGAAGAGAGATCGGGCATCCAGGAAAGGGCAGGTGAAAGGGGGACATGAAGCCCCAGGAAAGAGACAGATACCTAGCAGAGGGTGGAGAGGAGGGAGGAGCGTGGCAGCGGGGTTGGGGCTGGGCCCTGAAGTGTCAGATGTTGCTAACCCGGGGTCAAGCGGGCAAGGACAGGAATGGTCACTGCGTGTGCCAGGACAGAGCCCTGTGTCCTCCCGGTACAGGGCAGGTAGATGTGGGACTGGGAGCAGGACTCCTAGTGGCCTGAGCGGGAACTGGAAGAGAAAGGACTTCTGGAGCCCACAGCCCACCATTCTGGAGGCCAGCTGCCCAGGTCAACCAGGTGGATGGGGGTTGGGCTTCTGCAGCAAAATTTCGGAGGGCAAACCAGGACATGGTCTAGAGGAGTTAGGCAAGAAGCAGAAACAGGACAGAAGTGCAGCTTGGTCCGGAGAAAGAGCCTCTCCAGATAGGGGAGGGCCACAAGTGCACATGTGCCCACGCCCACCCAGCACAGGCACACACATGTGCACACTCACATGCACTGCATGCACACTTGTACACAGGCCCACACGTATGCACGCATGGCACACACACACACGGGCATTCATTCACACTTACGCACTTCTTGTACACACATGCATACTCTCCTACACAAGTACACGTGTGCGTTTCCATGCATGCACGTGCCTGCACAAGCACACATGTGTGCACGTGTGGATCACATGCATGAACACGTGTGCACCCAACTCCTCAGAGGTGCCCTCAGGCTCCTCCTGCCATCACTGTGCAGCAGGGGCTGTGGGACCCCAGGGCAGGTGCAGCACAGGTGTTCCCAGGAAGACACAGACATCCCTCACACACCCATGGGCACACCTGGGCAAGCAGCGCCTTCTACAAGGACTCGGTTCACCTCACAGGTAGGTGCTGGCTGGGGCAAGCTCCCAGAGGATCCGGAGGTGATAGTGGGAGAGTAGTTCACCACGGGGCATGCATCAGAGCTCCCTCCTCTAGAGGCAGCACGCACAGGGAAGAGTGAAAGTGTTACCACAGGGCCTGCCTGCGGGGTGAAGGTGGGGCACAGCCCACAGGGCAGGCAGTCCATGCTGCCTGCAGTGGCATAGGGGTCATGTGGTGGGGTCCTGGGAGTGCAGAGAGGCACGCGGTGGTGGGGAGCTCCTGGGAGCCTGTTTCCAGTGCTCTTTGGGGGGCTGAGTTTTGACCTCAGGCAAGTTACTTTAAGAAATCACTGTGTCACTTGTGTGGCTAGGTGAGTGTGTGCATGCACGTGTGTTCTGCGTGAGTGTGCATGCGTGTGTATATGTCTGCACAGTATTGGTGAAGGACCCGGACTCCGGAGAGGGAGGGAAGCACAAGACGGAGGAGACACTGCATTTCCAGCTGTGTCTACAGCGCTTGCTTTCTTCAAGGACCTCTAAAGAGAATTTGGACAATGTTAAGATTTAAATCATCAGGGTGTGGACTTTCATAGTCTCTCTGCTTTTCCCTATGCTTCAGATACTTTACGGTGAGAATAGACTGTAGTTCAAACAGCAAAGGGGGCTGCCAGGGAGTGCCCCGGAGGCCGGCGAGGGCCCATGAGGTTGGGCCTGTCTAGAAGCGAGTGGGCAGGAGCCACAGGCTGGCGCTCTGGAGAAGCAGCAGGTGGGGAGGTGCAGACTCAGGGTGTGTCTGCAGGGGCAGCACACACAGCCAGGACTGCAAGTCAGTGGAGCAGGTGGGTGAGGCTTCTAGCGAGAAAAAGTCACAAGAGACTCTGCACTTCCCCTGGCTGGGATCCCCCAACCATCCGGCCCCTGAGCCTTGGCCCCCAGTCACCCCGAGGGACCCTGCCCCGTGAGCCCTGCTCCCTGCCATTTTCTTCTCCATGGCCTCCCTGTGGCCTTGCCAGCGCCTCTGCCTCTGCACCTGGCACCCTCCCTTGCCAGCCCCCGCTGAAGAGTTGTTGGGGGGCAGAAGCACTGAGTGCCCAGGGCACAGCTGGAGAACGGAGCCAGGAAGTTGGTCTTGGCATTGAAGCTTCAGGGAAGCCCAGGGGCGAGGCCTGGCGGGCCAGTGGGCACAGCTCATGTGAGGGCAGGAGGGTGACACCGGGGTGGACACTGAGTAACCACGAGGTGGGGTGTGGACAGATTATTTTCTTCCTCTGTATTTCCCAGGTATTTTGTAATGTGGATGGAATACATATTTATGTCATTTGAAACATGTAAGAAAAATCAGGTAAAAGCTGTTGCACTCGGAAATGAGGAAGCCATGGGTGACCGCCGAGGGAGCAGTTGTGGGCTGAACAGTTGGTTGGCAGGTGCCAGGGCCCGAGAGGGTCACTTCTGGAGAGGGGCATCAGGAGTTCATGTTCTCCAGGACCCCTTATCCAGGCTGTGTTGGGGATGTCCAGGGTGGGATCAGCTGGTGCCCAGTAGTCACCGGGCTGGGCTGTGTCTCCCCGCAGCCCGGAAGCAGGAGATCATCAAGACCACGGAGCAGCTCATCGAAGCCGTCAACAACGGCGACTTTGAGGCCTACGCGTGAGTCCCCAGGGCTGGGGGGGTGGCTGTGCAGGATGAGGATGTGGAAACCTGGGGAGCCCGGCCGAGTCAGGGGTTCCCCAGGGCCCCTCCTCACTTGGATTTGGCCCCCAGGAAAATCTGTGACCCAGGCCTGACCTCATTTGAGCCTGAAGCTCTAGGCAACCTGGTTGAAGGGATGGACTTCCACAGATTCTACTTTGAGAACCGTGAGTGAGGGAGCTGGGGCTGAGGCATGAGCAGGTGGCATCCCTCGGGGGAGGTTGGCGGCCATCCGTGGAAGCCCTGAGCCCTCTGTATCCAGGGTTGGTGGGGCCCTTGCTGGCGCTTCCCGTGTCACTGCCCCAGCCCCCAGAGTCCCTCTTGGAGGGCCATGTGCCCTCCCCATGAGCGGGAGCCAGGCAGGGAAGGGTCAGGCTGGTGGGGTGGGTGGAGGGCAGGCCAGTGGGGTGGCCACAGTCCCCGAGAACCCCCACCCCGCCATCCGCAGTGCTGGCTAAGAACAGCAAGCCAATCCACACGACCATCCTGAACCCCCACGTGCACGTCATCGGGGAGGACGCCGCCTGCATCGCTTACATCCGGCTCACGCAGTACATCGACGGGCAGGGCCGGCCCCGCACCAGCCAGTCCGAGGAGACCCGCGTGTGGCACCGCCGTGACGGCAAGTGGCAGAACGTGCACTTCCACTGCTCGGGCGCGCCCGTGGCCCCGCTGCAGTGAAGGTGAGCTCCCCTGGCCAGGGGACAGCCAGGGCAGGGGGAGGGACCGTGGTGTGAGTGGCAGAAGCCCCGGGAGGCGATGGGGAGTGTGGCAGAGCCCCCTCTTAGGGAGCGCCTGAGCTCTCCAGGTGAGGCCATGGGAATGAAGTGACGTCAAGGACAATGGCAAGCTGGGTGTGGTGGGGGCCTGAGCCATACGCATGGGTGCAGCCCGGGGCACTGCACCCCGTTTGTCAGCACCTTTCGGGCCCTAGATGGGGGTTCCCAAGTGTGGATGCCTTGGGGCCAAAGCTCAGTTGTATGAGGATGGTGCAGTTGTCTTGGGCGCCTCAAGCCCCCTCTTCTGAACGAGCTTTATTCGGGACGTTGGTTTTAACCTCTCTGGGGTCCTGCATTGCGGATGGCAGCGCCTGGGGTGGACAGGGAGAGGGGCTGCTGGGAGCTGACCCGCCGCCCTGTTTCAGAGCTGCGCCCTGGTTTCACCGGACAGAGTTGGTGTTTGGAGCCCGGCCGCCCTCGGGCACACGGCCTGCCTGTCGCATGTTTGTGTCTGCCTCGTCCCCTCCCCTGGTGCCTGTGTCTGCAGAAAAACAAGACCAGATGTGATTTGTTTTAAAAAACGAGATGATGACAATGACAACCACAAAAAAAAAAAAAATTGACATCGGATGAAATGAAAAAAAAAAAAAACTAAAGGAAGGAAAAAGCTGTAAAAATCACTGGCATTCGTGGGGCCACTCCCCACCCAAGCTCCACGTGTGTCCGTCCGTGCTCCTGGCCTCTGGGGGACCAGCTGGCACATGAACTTGTCCACCAGGCCCCTGTCACGTGCTGAACGGTGTTAGTCTGTAGGTAATGCACACACCCCACACCTAAGGCGTCTGCATCCTCCCGCCAACGCATGGGCTCCACGTGGTGTGCTCGCTGGCTGTCGTGACCGTCAGCTGTCTTTCGGGAGGGGCTGTGGGGGCCCACGGGGCTGCCTCCTTTCCCGCTAGTCGTGCCTGAGAGTTGCTGTTGTTCCTGCTTTCCCCTCCCTCCCTTTCATCCCCTGAAGGGCTGGGTGTGGGCTCCCCGTGCCCGGCGTTCCTCACACCCAGCATGGACAGCCTGCAGCAGAGCCCAGGCCAGCCCCTCACCCCCTGGAGTGTCGAGGAAACTGGAGTCTCGTCCCCAAGGCCGTCAGAGATGCCTCCACAGACCCAGGCCTCCAGCGCTGGTCCTTCTGGGGAACAGAGGTACAGAGGGGCACACCTTAGCTTCAAGCCTCCAGCTGGCAAAAGATGGCACCGTTGGCCGCAGCTCCAACATGCCCAGCTGCGGAGAGGGAACTCAGCCTGGGCTGGCCTCCCTCCTGTTTGGGGCGTCTGTCCCTTCTCTGCCAGCCACAGATGCATTGGCCGCTCCTGACTGTCTCTGCCCCTCGACCCTCCTCCTGACTTGTGCGGCTTCTCCCCCATGCAGCTGGGAGCAGACTTTTCACAAAGGACTGTGGGCCTCTCTCAAGTCCCGAGCCCCCGACTGAGGCGGGGAGGAGGCCAGGCTTTGTGTCTGGGGATATTTGCCTGCTGATGGAGTCTGGGGGAGCCGGGGCTTAGGGCCCGGTCGGGTGATGCAGCAAGTGGCAGAGAGGGTTCAGCAGGTTGTGGCTGCTCGGGCTCCTGGGCTGAGACAGGAGTCCAGGCAGGTGCTTGCTGAAGTGGGAGCACTTTCGGAGTCCGGGCCTGAGCAGAGGGAGCGAAAGTCACAGTGAGGGCCAGCCCAGGGCACACGAGAGGTCTGAGGGCAGGGAGAGGTGTTGGACGTGCCAGCTTTGGCCACGTGGGCCAGCTCCTTGGCCCTCGGCGTGGCAGAGCTGCAGTGTGTGTAAGGGCACCTTCCAGGTGAGCCAAGGATGCAGCCAGGGTGAGAAGGCAGGCTGGAGGCAGAAACGGGTGGACCCAAGGCCCAGGACACCAGAGGGTGGAGGGGAGGGTCCAGCAGGGGACCACGGTACTGCATCCGGGGGCTGGCTTCCTGCTCCTGAGCACCTGGGCTCACTGCGGAGCGGGTGGGTGCCCTCACCCCTCGTGATGGGGGTACCCTGGAGAGGCTCGGGGACAGAGCGAGCCGGAGCACAGTTGGGAAGCCGGGTGGGGTGGGGGCAGTCAGGAGTCCTGACTGCAGAGGTTCAGGGGCCCTCACCCCAGCGCCTGTCCACCTTCAATTCACGTCGTTTTCAACAAGGATTTTCTTTATCTTCCCCCGCAAATCAAGCCAAGGGAGGGACACAGAGTGGGGAACAGGACACAGGATCCTAAACTCCAAGGGGACTGTCCACCAACGAACACTCAGAGTGGACGCCACCTTCTGTCCACGCTATACCCAGGACAGCTGTCCCCATCCATGGACACAGGGTAAACATCTGCCGGGCTCCGCACCAGTGGCTCCCTGGGCCACAGGACAGTGGCAGGGCTCACCATGGACAGCGTGTGGCCCAGCGGCCGGCCACCCTGGCATCCTGGGGCCTCCTCCCCTCCTCTCCCTTTCACCTTGTCATCTCCACGGAGCTGCCTGTCTGGGATAATTTGGGGATTTTTTTTCTGGGGGATAATTCTTTTGCATGACCCCTAAAGAGCAAGCCACAGCCGCTCTGCTAGCTAGGTGTCCGCGGTGTGGTGGCAGCGGCCCGCTGGCCAGCGCTGCAGGGGTCGGCTGCCCACGGTGCTGGCTGGCCTCCCCTCTTCTCTCTTTTTGCTGAGTTTCATTGTCTTTTCTTTCTGAGCCTTGTAAGTGTACAAAATTATTCTTATTTTGTTCTGTCTCGGGAAACTGCAAATAAAAGAAAACAGGACAAACCGCTTCAAGTGCAGCTGGGTGCTTTAGCCGGGACCCTGCCGAAACCCCCACACCAAAATGCAGACTCAAGCCTGGTTCTTGGCTGAGACCCAGCTGGACCTCTCCTCCACCCGGGCATGGGGACAGGATGGAGCCCTGAGCTGGCCCAGAAGGTCCCAAGCTCCTCCAGGGCGGACGGGGCACCTACACTAGTCCTAGGTCGTAGCTCCATCAGCTGTCCCCACCACCTCTGGTCCTCCGAAGTCCCCTGGGCCTGGGCTGTCTGCCCTGAATGCCAGAACTTGAAACAGACCCCCAGACCCCAAGGCCCCTGACCTGTCCAGTCACCCCCGTGGCTTCTAAAGATGAGGCCGGGGGCAGCCTCTCTGGGTGGGAAGGAGCCCCGGAACCCAGACCTGTGACTGTCCTGCCTGCCTCCAACTGCCCCCGTAAGTGTGGGCTGCTCTGGATGCCGAGGACTTCCAGTGCCCCACCCCAGCGGATCATGCGGACAGCACGGTCAGCGTGGAAGTCAGACACAGGCCAAGTGCAGAGATGATTCAGCCAGTAGCCACCACGCGGGCCAGGAGGCGCTGTATGGGGCCACAGAACCCAGAACCCAGGGCCGAAATCTGAGGTGACGGACAGAGGGATGCCAGGCGCCAGGCCTTGAGTGGCCAAGTGCTGTGGGCCTATGGGCCATGCCAGGCTTGGGGGCTTCGTCCTGGGTGTGAACAGGGGCCCCCAGGCCTACCCTCTGCATCTCCTGCCCAAGTTCAGAGCAAGCACTTCCCCCATAGCCCCTTGCCAGGCCTTGTCTGCACTCGGCTCTGCCCACTGTCCATGCTGCCTCCACCCCGGGCCAGCCGACTGCGTAACTGCCTGGCCCCATGGGGCATAGCCCGGAAGAGCAGCGGCACCCACCTGTGCTCTGGGGACCCCTCTGCAGCCTCAGTGCCCTCCTCCCTCCCAGATACACCCTGGATGACCCCTGCTGGTCCTCCAGATGCACCCTTGTGATTCCATGGCAACCTTCTCAGTGTGACCTTGCCCTGCCTCCCCTCCACAGCTGGGTCCCAGGCCCTCCCACAGCAGTTTCCTGAAGCAGAAGTGTGGGCTTCAAACAGCACACCTGCTTTGGGGTCCAAGTAACTTCTGATAACCCAGGTGCTCCGACACCCTTTCAGTCCTGTCCATTACGGGCAGGAGCCTGAAGGATCCCCAGAACTGGCCGAAGCCCCAGCCTCCTCCCCTGCCCCGAGCATCTGGTTACAGATGCCTTTGCTCAGCAGGGAGGCCCTTGATGTCAGCTTCTCGCTTCCCACGGGCTGCACCTGGGCAGGTGCTCAGGTGTGTGGGCGGGCAAGTGGCAGGTCCCAAGAGTCAGGTGCTAAGAATCTAGGCCAGCGTCCACGAGTGCTGCAGTGTCCGTCCCCAGGCACAGTATCTAGGGCTCTGTTCGCCTAATCGGCTGTAATCGGAGGAGACTTTCCAGGCCAGGCCTCCCTCAGGAAGGCGACACACACCGTGGGTCCTGAGTCATCACACATGCATTATTCCTGAGGCCTTTCTGCAGATGCCATCAGGGCAGCTCTGGTAAAGCTTCAGGGCACAGTGCACAGGGATAAGCCACCCTGTGTGGGGCTGAGAGCTACAAGAAAAAGGCACGTCACTTTTAGATAGCACTTCACCTATTGTAAACAAAGCTCCCCGGGCCATGTGTCACTCAAAAAAGATTAACACTCCTGAGTTCCAGCAGGTCCTCTGCTCAAGAAAAGCATGAGCACAGTCCCATGCTGCTTCCTGGGCCAGGAGGAGTGGTCTCTGCCTTCAAGGGTCACAAGTACAGGCAACAGCAGCCCTCACCTGCCTGCCAGGGAGGCGACAGAGGTTTCAGATGGTTTCCTACACTTAAGACGAGATGCAAGACTTGTATCTGACCTGCCCCAGGTTCACCTCCCAACCTGCAGGGGTCTTTGCTCCTCCAAAGAGCAGGACGTCCCCCACGTAACCTGTGGAGTCCCCTTAGCTCCTGAAGTTTCCACCTGTGTTTGTTGGGAAGCCGGAGGCGGGGCGTCGGGGTGGTCTCAGACCAGGCCTGAGGGATGTGGATCAGGGACTCCTTCCTGGGGCTCTGTAGCTCAGGCAGATTTCCCAGGTGGGTCTCTTGGCTGCAGCTAAAACGAGGCAACTGGATTCAGAGCCGACAGGGCTTCCTCTACTCCAGGGCTCCCTCACCTGGTTAACAGCAAAAAAGAAAATACAGCTCCTGCTAAAAAGGAGGTTAGCGAGTTGGGCCTGGAGCTCTCCTGGGCAGGGCCAGCCAGAATAACTTGGGCCCTTGCCCCTGCAGGCACACAGCACAAGGCTTTTCTCTCCCCAGGGGCAGGACTTGGCAAGAAAGGCTCCCCTGAAACACGAACAAAGTACAGGACCACTTTGGAACTTCGAAAGACAACTTTATCCAGACAGGAACCTCTCAAACAGAACACAGAGAAAAGTTAGGCAGCAGTTATTAAAATACACTCTTGCCAAATGATTTAACATCAGAACACAGGGAGCAGGAAATATGCAGGACGGGCCCTCTGTCTTATCACAGAGCCTGAGTCAAACCCACCCCCCCTGCCCTGCATGGGCAGGGGCTGACCCAGGCAAAGTCCTCAGAAAGGGCAGGCAGACACAGGTGAAGGTCTCACTTGCTCTTCCCCCAGTTCACACCTCCACCCCCGCCCCCATGCCTCCCCAGTCCTCAACTGCGAGAGGAAAAGAGGCAACATCCCCCTGTTCCTTCTCACTCAGATCCCGGTCCGCTCCACTCCACCCAGGCACCAGTGACAGCTGCGTCTGAGCCTTGGCGTGTCTGTGGCAGTAGAAAAATAACATGAACGGGCTACTTCCAGGGTAGGCCAAGTCCTTTGGCCAGCAGTGCCCAGAGAAAAAGGGTGGTGGCAGGTAAACCAGCCGGGGGGTGGGGTCCTCAGAAACCACAACAGACCCCACCTTCATGCCCGCCCTGGGGATTCAGGGCCACTGGGACTTCCGGCCAGGAGTGGGAACCCTCCACAATGTGGCGAGCTCAGGGCAGGGCTCCCAAGGCTGAGACCACATTGGTTCAAAACTCGATGACACCATCCCAGCAGGGGCTTCCATGGAGACTGGATCCCAGGAATGTGTCTTGAGCACAGTGGAACATGAAGAGGCAGTTTGGAACATGGCACTAGAACCCAAGGGACCCAGAACATCCTGGGCTGCTCCAGCCTGTTTCGAGGATCCACGCCACGGGCAGGCCTCCTGCTAGGGGGCAAGCACCAGCTCAGACCAACCCCTCGGCCTCCACCACCCACACAGCCACCTGTGACCAGGAAGAGACTAGCAGGCCTGCACTGGCCAGACCAGGTGGGGTGCTGGGAGTCCTTGGCCAACTGGCACCTCCCTCTGGTGCCCACAGGAAAGACACTTATTTTAACATGTAGGCCCCAGGTGGCTGCCAAGGCAGTCTTATAACCAGAGGCAAATAAAAACCAGTTGTGAGAGATGACAGCACCTACTGCTTTGATTGCGATGTTCAAGTCAAGGTGCAAGGCAAGTGTCCCCCAGGCCCTGGGCAGCTGAGTGCACCTGTGTTTGGATCTTCCCCTGAAAATGGCACTCCCAGCTGACCAAACACCAAAGAACACCCACTTTCCCGGGCTTAGGACCCAGCCTGCTGCCGACACAACCACGACCCACAGACTCCCACCCACACATAAGCTCCTTCCAAACACTCCCACAGCCACTTCTGTTCTACTCAATGGAAACTGCTTATGATGGGCCCTGCCCTCAGTGGGAAGCCAATCTTAGCAGAAAGGCAAGCTAAACAAGTTTCAGAATTTGTGAGACCCGGTGGCTGTTTCTCCCCAACAGACCTTGGGCCTGAAGTGTTGGCCCACCTGTGACCACTGTGATAGGCTCACCCACACCTCCCACAGTAGCCCCAGGAGAGGGTTTCTCAAGCTCTGCCCACCCCAGCCCTGGCATCAGGGACTCTCCCCTCCCCCCAACCCCACCCACTGGAGTGTTAATACCGTTAGTGTACACATAAAATCCAGATGTACCGAGGCCAAGAAACAGCTGGCTCTGACCTCCTTCACAGAGCCTTCCCATGGTTCACTGAGAAAAAGCCCTTCCGCATCTGCAGGAGCCACCCAGAGTTTATGGTTTCATTTGCCCAGAAGTACACCTTTGGGCCTCAAATTATTTCCAAAAATTACTATAAGACATGTGAATGTGAACATTTCCCACCCTTCCACCACCCTCAGTGGTTCCTCCTGGGAACTCCAAAAATAAAAATGGCCGTCTGCCCCCACTCTGGGTCCTTGTCTATGGCTGTCTCTTCTTTTCCAGGGGCTGTGGTTCTGATGTGAATGACGGTGACGTTCCAGCGCTGGGTCTCTGTGGGCCACGTCACATGATTGCACAGCACGAGTTTTGTTTCCGGGCCTTGAAAGAAACAAAGAGGAGCTGAAGAAGAGCACTAAGGAAGGTCAAGCAGCCCCAGTCTCAGCAAGCATGGCAGAGGGAGCTCCATGGGAAGCAGCCAGCCAGAGACACAAGAACTAGAAGCAAGGGGGAGAGAACGCCTCGAGAGAAGCTGTCCACAAGCAGTTCCCATCACCAAGCACAAGGCGGGCCACAGCTTCCAGTGCTAGCCTGGGATCCTGTTTTTTTTCGTATCCCATTAATACTATCAAAAAGTGAGTAAAATTACTGCTATTAGGCCAGGGTCAAACAAAGAACCAGTGATGCAAATTAGCTATGTATCTTAACTTTGCCCCCACTTTTGTCTTCCAGCAATGCTTTCTGACCCCCATAGTGTTATTTCTTCCCAGAGATTGGTCCTCAGGACAACAGACGTAGTCCCCACCCAGGTTGTGGGGAACAGTGTTACCACTTCCTCTCTTGCTTTCTGGTCACAGACAATCCTCACCCCATCTGGCCATCTCCCTCCCACATACACAGGAAAGCAAATGTGTGTGGACAGACCAAGTAAACTCATCCCTACTATCCAACAATGGGCCAGCGGCGCCATCTCCACATAGGAGGACATAGCACTGACCTGAAAGAAAGAGGTGGTCAGCAGGACCCATTCCTGTCGATGAAATACTTCAGAAAAATTAACTAAAAGCTTAAGAACCTCTTCAGAAAGGCTGACCTGCTAGCACCTTAAGGACTTATACCTCACTACTCATTAGGAAGCAGTAAGGACAACTCCCTGGGGATCAGAACCAGCCTTCTGCCTTCCCAGGGAGGGGAATGTGGGTTCAGAAATCAGCCAGGCAGAACAGCAATGGGTAGAGCAGAGGTAGGAGTGACAAGGCCTCTGCAGCTGCTCTGAGAGCACCCAAGTGAACCTGCTGCCAATCCCCTAAGCCTGGGGTGTTTGTCTTAGTATCTCACTCCACAAGGAGTGAAAACCCACTCCACTATGATTAAATCATCTAAGACCCATTTGAAGTAGAGAGTGCCAGAAGAAACAAGTTGCAACTGCCCTGGAAGGGGGCACCCAGCAGTAGTAAGCGCTGGATACTCACAGTTTTATAGAAGGCTTTAGACTGTGTCCCCAGCACCTCGGATTTGGACACCAAGTCATCTAGCTTCTCACCTCGCTCCAACAAAGATTCCATGGTGTTGTGCTAGACAAGAAAAAAGAGAAGAGAGAACCCTGCTCCATTCAGTAAATGACTTGACTCCTCATGGAAGCTCAGACATGGGAGAAAGCACCTTCTCCAGGCTCCTCTCCAATACCCAAACTTCATCTCTAAGTGTCAGGACTCCATCCCAGAACAACTACTGTCGCAGTGGATAGAATAGGGCCTGGTCACATTCCCATGGAATCTAGAAGTTCAACTGAGATGCAGATGATTTCCCAAAAAACTGTCTCCAGCACAGGCTTCAGTAATCACCATTGTAGGAAAATTCACATATATGCACATTTATATATTGGTATATGTGTGGATTTGTGTATGTATATGTATGTGGATGGGTCTTTGGAAAGAAAAAAACAGTTGCCAGGCACTCTGTGGTTGTAATAAGTTGGATAGTGGGTCTCTCAAAATTAATGTCCACCCATCACCTCTGAATGTGACCTTAGTTAGAAATAGGGTCTTTGCAGATTTAATTAGTTATGATGAGGTCATGGTGGATTAGGGAGGGCTCTAATTTAACTAATATCCTGATAAGAGAAACCAGAAACACACAAAGCCCATGTGATAACAGAGGTAGTGACTGGAGCGATGTATCTACAATCCAAGGAATACCAAGGATGACTGGCAGTCACCAGAAGCTAGAAAAAGGCCTGGGACAGGCTCTCCCGCAGAGTCTTAGAAGGAAATCAGCCCTGCCGACACCTTGATTTCAGACTTCTGGCTTCTAGGACGATGACAGAATATACTTTTGTTGCTTTACGTTATCCATTTGGTATCTGGTAACAGCAGCCACAGGAAACTAACACAGTGGGAAAGTCAGACATCTAACATGGCAGCCACAAATAGCTACTGAGCCCTTGAAATGAGGCAAGTCCACACTGAGCAGTGTAGAACACCAGATTTCAGAAGCAGACTCAGCACACACAACACTTCATTCCTAACTTTTTGTATTGATTACATGTTGGAAAAATAGTCTTTGGATATACTGGATTAAGTAAAATATATACTTAAAATACATTTCAACTATTTTCCTTTTATTATTTTAAAATATGGTTTCCAGAAAATACAGAGGTACACACAAGCCTCATATATATACTATATTGGACAGCACTAGAACAGAACGCATCCTGCTTCCTACAGGGGGCTGTGTCCTAAATGTCATTACTACAAACTCTGCCTTAGGAAACAGGGACACTGACGCTTCTGTGAAAGGGCTGGGGACAGAGGCCCTCAGAAGAGCAAACGGCCCTGCTGCCAAGGTCCTGAGGAAGCAGCAGCTCACTTGTCTCCAGATGGCCATTGCCAGAGCAGCTGTATGCATATGTGAAACAGCACAGAATGAGGAGCTCGCAAAAACATCCTTTATGCCCACACACACCTAAGCAACTCAGAACCTTAACATAAAAAGTGGACTAAGATATGGACACCAATAATCCAGATTTTACAATTGCAGCTAGATAGGGCTGGGCCAGCAAGACATGCTCGCTCTCCACAGTGGGGAGAGGAGAGTGGGTGTCCCAGGCTCCCCGGTACTCACAGACTCAGATTAGAGCAGCAGAAGGAAGATATAGGGCTTGGGAAGAAAACATGGAGAAACACCAACTCAATGTAAGAAAACTCAAAGGGCTATAAAAGACACAGATGCTGCAAGACTCACATCTAACTGTCATTTCAAAGCCACAGTCCAGAGGATCTATGTTTGAAGCCCCTGGGATGCTTTTTTATAGCATGCAGGTTCCTGGGATCCACCCGGGATCCACCCGGGATCCACCTGGGATCAATGAGTCCAACCCCAGGAGATGCTAATGTACACTAAAGCCATGTCTGTGTAGATGGCAAAGTTTTATGTTGGGGGTGGGTTTTTCCTGGCCTTCAATCCATTCTGTGTCCATCTACTGCTGAGCACCAGTGTAAACCAGGCATCATATCATGAACAGGACGGAAAGGTGCCCTGGGAGCTCACAGGCTGGTCAGGGAGACACAGAAACAAGCAGTGACAGGACTGTAACATTCTGAAAGGCCTGAGTTGGTGGTGCCTGTGTGCAAGCTAGGCAGGAAAAGGGTATAAGACAGGACAGGACCCAGTCATGAAACCATGTTAGAGAGTTTGTACTTTTATTCTGGAACAGATCTGACAGCTTTGAAGGATTTTAAGTTGAAGAGAGCAGATCAATGACGACTGTCTAGTAGACTGACTAGAAATGGGCAGGAAGCAAGGGGACCAGTTAGAGACAAAGGTCCCAAGGGCGAAACCTCAGGAGAAACCTGATGGCTACTTGTATTCCCCATGCAAACAGGTTTAATGTGTTTTTAAAATGCTGACACAGCAGTTACAAATCAGGAGACTTCATATAAAAATGCAGGGTTCCAGCTCTTTCCAATCGGTCTATCTGACAATCCTAAGCCCATGTTCCAGAACATGTAGTGAACTTCAATTTCCTTCAACCCAGACACTGCAAGAAGAGGCACCTGTCAGGGGCTCTGAGAACTATCCTAACAACAGCACCAGCATGGGAATCAAGTACTTCAGAGGCCACACCCTCAGAACCTAGTAACTGCCCAAAGACAGGGAGCAGCCATGGGGAGGGGAGACTCGACCCCATTGGTTCTAAGTTTGGTCCTCTACAAATTATGGGTGCTATGAACCAAGACAGAGGTGAAGAAGGGATAGTCTGATGCCCAGGAGTGGTGAGGGTGGGCAGTCTCATTTCCCAGAGATTGCTATGGTTACTATGAATAGAGACTGGCTCTGTGTATGCCTGGCTGGTGACAAATCCTTCCACCCCTTGGTTTCTGGGTTTGCTCTCCATCTTCCTGCTTACCAGAATGATTTTGGTCTCGTCTAGTTCGGCCTGTACTTTAGTCATGGGGTCAGCTTCTCGTGGGTTCTAGGAAAGAGCCAAAAATAAGAACAAAGTTAGTGGCTCCCTGTAAATAAAGTTCAAGATGGAAGAAGCTGGACATACTTTCACAAGTCAAAAACCACAGCCTGTTTAAACACACAACAAACACAAATCCTGCCTAGAGCTTGGGTTCCCGGATCTGAAGGTAGATCCCCTGTGTTTTTCAAACTGGCATCGGAAGCTGTCAGAGCCACTGAACCAGATCTATCAGGGCAGGTGGTTTTTTCCATTTCACAAGGATTCTGGACCACATGGTCTCTGCGTGAAGTTTCCTTAAACCCTACCTGGTATCTACTAAGGTGACCATCCAGAGCTGTATAATTGATTGTAGCAGGGGATCCTACTGGCCAGTCTATCCTGTCAGTTTGCTTGGAGAATTCATCTAGTACCTGCAAGACAAAGGAGCCTCAACAAGTCTCCCACCTGTGTTTACCAGTCCCCTTGGCAACAGGGTTTTACCCTGAGTATCTCACCCTGAATAAAGCTCCCTGGGCCCCGAGAGCCCAGGAAAGAGGGAAGAAGCAGATATATAATAGCAAGAGAAAAATTCCGGGCTAAAGCTATTTCCAAATTTTTATCATTAAAACATAACCTTAGTATTCTGAGAATCAAAAATGAAGTATGCCCAGCCTGACATGCACCTCATCTAGGAAATAATAAAGGTAGAGACATTTTAAACTACAGATTTCCAGAAAAAAGAGCACTGGCCCTCTAATTTTCCAAAGCAATTTTTCAAAAAGAGAATTAGGTCCTCTGGATTTAAGAAACCACTAGATTTCATGTACTTGGAAGTGCTTTAGTGCTTTGGGGCACAGGAAAAAGTCTCTGTCTTCAAGAGGTTTATAATTAACACCACACAAAAATTAAAGAATGCTCAGGTGCTAAGTTCCATGGTGCATCCATGGTGCAACTGACTGACACTGGGGGAGAAACTGCAGGAGGTAATGTGCAGGGGTGGGGGGGATGGTGTGTGTGTGTGTGGAGAGGACTTCTTGAGAAGAAGCACAGGGAGTGAGACCACAAGGAACAGCTGTCTCCAAGAGCTGTCCCAGAGGAGAGATGCTGCAACTCAGTGGCCTAAAGCCAGGTCAGATGAGCAGTACAAGTCAGCAGCAGTGAGGGCACCTGGGCAGGGATGTCAAATTATCTCTTGGACTGGCGGAAAAGGAGGCTGAGTGTTGATTTTGGACATACCATTTTGTCCCTAAGGCCCTGCCCCATCGATGAACATGCCATACCCATCATCCAAGTCCAGCTGAGCCAAACCCAAAACTCACCTTCTCCAACAAGGTAAAGGCCACCCGGGATGGGTATTCATTGTCAGCAATGACCACACCTGCAAGACTGTCATTTCGGACATAGACATGGCACAGATAGTCTGAGGAGACAGGAGATCAGACACGTGGACATTGACATGAGGCCTTCAAACTTTTTTTGATCCCCCAAAATCAAAGCATCACAATGTTGGGCTCCTGCCTTTTGGGTCAAATTAAGCCAATATGAAACTTTACGGCTCTGAGCAAGGTTAGTAGAAAGGCTCTGCAGTGCAGCACAGCCCAACGAACTATATATGGGAGCTTGGACCAACACCTGCTTTAGGACCAGTAAATGCCCAGAGGCCTGGTGTGCAAAGCCAGAGCCTAAAAGAACCACAAGTGGTGCAGCAAACACACCACAGGCAACATGGCTCTGGGAGCATTTCCAAGTCTCTTCCTTGAGCTCAGGTCAGGCTGAGCCGTATCTCAGGGACTCACAGCTTGAGGCTGCTGCTCCCAAACCAAGGGAACCCTGGGCAAGTCAAGCAGCCTCTTACTTTCTTCAAAAGCCCTTTCAGAGCAGCCAAAAGTCAGGAAATTACCTCTCAGGACCTCAGTCTTCCATATTATAGCAACCCTGCTTGGCCTGCTCCACTCTGGTGGGTGACTGGGGGGATGGGATCAGTCTAGAAAAAGATTAGCCAAGCTGGCTGAGTTCTCCAGTGTTACTATGTTAAAGTTACCATATGATAGAAAGGATACAATTTGTATAAGAGCTTCTGTAAAATTTTCAGCTCTCAGGATTGGACATGATTATCACTGTGAAAGGATTCAGCGATGACACAGCTAACCATATCCCCAAAGAAAGAGAAACGTTAAGAATTACAGCTTACAAATAAGAATCTTCTTGTTTTTAAGGATCTGACCCAAAAGACTCCAATGCTAAACAACAGAAAAACAAATGAAAAAGGAGGGAAAGATTGTGAGCTCCTGAAATCAGAAGCGGGCAGAGAGAAATAACAGGAATGAGAAGGAGGAGGAGGAGGACAGTAGATTATCATCTATGCTGTCCAGATTTTGTATACCATTCCTAAATAAGACACAAACATGGAGTCAAAGTATACACAATCCACAGAAACTGAGGAACTGGTCAGTTTCTAAGAAATCATTAATAAGCTTGGGAAGGGCAGACATAGTTTGAAGGAGAACAGAGCAAGAACACTGAAATACTGACTCAAGTTTCACTTCTGTGACATTAACAGACATTAACCCACAGAGTGTATATATATTCAATATTGCCTGTATTATAAGTGAAGTTAACATCAATTCAGTAACTCCACATCATGTGACTCAAGGTCATGTGCACATATGAGAACGTGAGTCTCTACCTGATGAAGTTCATGTAACTCTTTCCTGATCTGTCTGTATAACATGCACACCTAAATAAATGCCTACAACTCAATTATGAAAAAAAAAAAAAAATAATGAGCTCTGAGTCCTGGTAAAAATCTAAGGAGCCCAGAATGTAGCATATGACCTCAACAGTGATAGCCAGAAATCCTTTTTTGAGGCGTCCGCAGCTCTGAAGAGAAAAAGGAAGAATACAGTATGAAGGCTGCTTACTGCTCCAAGAGTCAGACTCTAATCATAAATGAGTCTAAGCTTCAAGGGCAATTTTATCCAAGAAGCTTAGACTTCAAAAATGGGCACAGAATTCTGTGTAAATAGGAAAAGAAGGAAAAGGGAAGAGAGAACAAGCTAGCAGAGGAGTGGGGTCCCTGTAGAGAGGAGAGAGCTGTGTGCTGCATGACATGCTCAGAGTCAGGTCTTCTTACCTTGTTCTTTGACAGACGCTCGGGTGCCTTTTGCTGAGCGCTCCACAATCAGTTGACTTGTGAAGGTCATGAATTCCTGAACACTAAGAAACATAATGTATATTTATTGTCTTTTTCCTATCACCTTGTTCCCAACACAGTGGAAAGTGACCTCTGAGCTTATCATTAAGGAATCATTACTTCTTGGTTTCATTTCTTTCCCTCCCAATCCTAATAACAAACAATAAATGCTCTGTAAATGAATATAAATACAGATAATTACGAATCATCATCACCATTCAAATCACATCTGTTTGCTACCTAGTTCACTAAAACAACCTACATTCAGACTTCTGGGGAATTTTCTACAGCCTACAGTCAATTTAACATGTTGGTCAGAGTGCGATGTGGGACACAATGAGAAATCAGGAGGCAGCTCTGGTTCTCAAAGCCCCTATAACTTCCAAGAAGCAGGACAAATAAAAACTGCACTAGAAAAACAGTAGTGACAAAAATTGTCAGGTAGATATATAACTGGTTATGGCTGTAGCCACATGACAGAACCTGGCAATACCACACACATCCACTGAGTGCTGGCTCAGGTCTGCTGGGACTCATCCACAGAACAAGCCCAGGACACTCTGGAAGGAATGAAAGGAAACAGCTCAGGCAAGACAAGGAAGTGGGAAGTGGCTTTTACACAGGCTTAAAGGGAGAAGGTTCATCATGGCTCCAACAGAGAGGTCTGGCCAGAATGGAATAGTCACAGGAGGTGGTCCAAGCAGAGGCCCAGGCACTAACAAGGAGCCTCCAAGTGGGGATGTGATATAAAGGGCAGCCAGGGCCATCACAGCAGGTTCCAACAGAGCCATACAGAAAACTAAAGACCTGACTCTGGGATCCCATGTCCACCACTTACCAGGCATGCAATCTCAGACTGGTTACTGCACTGTGCCTCAACAATAAAAATCAAGATTCATGAGACAGTTAAGTGAGTTAATACTTGTACAGCACTTGGCACAATGCCTGGCACCGTATTACTTGCTATTATTATCTTGAAGGAGTGATGTGATCAAAATAATCCCTCAAAAAAGGCTCCAAACAAGAAGCTTCTGCAGTAAAATTTAAAAAATACAGTGCTTGAATTAGGTCTGTAATTCGACAGAGGAGAATTGTGTTAATGGTGACAGCATGCATACGAAGGCCAAAAAGGCTGGGAAACCTCTTGAAGGTTTTAAGCTTGGGGTCTGGTAATCACAGGGCAGGAAGGATGAAGTGAGAGGTCTTATAAGAAAATAAGCTCAGTCGGGCTCGGTGGCTCAGCCTGTAATCCTGCGCCTTTGGGAGGCTGAGGTGAGTGGATTGCCTGAGCCCACGGGTTCGAGACCCACCTGGGCAACTTAGCAAGACCTCCTCTCCACAATAAATCAAAAAATGAGCCGGGCGTGGTAGCGTGCGCCTGTAGTTCCAGTTACTTGGAAGGCTGAGGCGGAAGGATCGCCGGAGTCCAGCAGGTCGAGGCTGCGGTGGCCGGGAGCGGCCACTGCACTCCAGTCTGGGTGACGGAGTGAGACTCCGACTCAAAAAAAAGAAAAAAAAAGAAAAGAAAAGAAGCTCAGCTGGAATATGTGTTGTTTCAAGAGATATTTATTAGAAGAGACATCCCTTTAGCGTTATAGCTATTAGTCATGAGAAACCAGTGTGGATATTCCAAACAAGTGAGGTGTAAGTCCTACAGTGACATCTCTAGAGTCTTCAATACCAATGCAAAAGAAAAAAGAAAAAAAAATCAGAGCCAAGTTGGCATCAAAAGTTCCATCTAAGAAAAGCATACAGAGCAGCAAATAGAAGCCATGGTAAAGAATCAAGAACTCCAAGAAGGAGCCAAAAGATGATGCAGCAATCCCACTCCTGGGTATATACCAGAAAGAAATGTAAGCAGGATCTTAAACAGACATTTGTACATCCACATTCACAGCAGTATTATTTACAGTGGTTAAAACATGGAAGCAACCCAAGTGTGCAATGAAGATGGAGAAGCAAAATGCAGTCTATGCATACAATGGGACATTATTCAGCCTTAAAATGGAAAGAAATTGATACCCGCAATAAAATGGATGAGCCTTAAGGACATTATGCTAAGTGACACAGACAAAAACTATAATTCTACTTTTTTTTTTAAGTCAGGGTGAGTGGAGTGGCATGATCACAACAATCATGATTCACAGCAGTCTCGGAAGTCCTGGGTTCAGGAGATCCTTCCACCTTAGCATCCTGAGTAGCTAGAACTAGAGGTGCGCACCTGACTAACCTTTTTATTTTCTGTAGAATGAGGTTTTGCTATGTTGCCCAAGCTGGTCTTGAACTCCTAGGCTCAAGCAATCTGTCCACCTCAGACCCAAAACATGCTGGGATTATAGCCATGAGTCACCTCATCTGGCTAATTCTACTAATATGAGGTCCCTAGAGTGGTCGAAAATCATACAGACAAATTACAACAGTGGTTGCCAGGGGCTGGCAGAGGAGGGAATGGGGAGTTAGGATTTGATAAGCACAGAGTTTCAGTTTTACAAGATGAAAGGAGTTCTAGAGGTGAATGATGGTGATGGTTCCAATCTATTTTAAACCGCTAAACTATATACACTTAAAAATATTTAAGACAATAAATGCTGCTATGTGCATTTTACCACAATAAAAAATAAGTTTTTCAAAAGAAGCAGAAATTTTCAACAAAATAACAGAAACTTTTTTAGATCTACCAAGTCACTGGCAAAGGACTGATCAAGAACAAGCAGTTGCACTGAAGCAGTGAAAACAGAATCTAAGTGGCATATTCCAGCAATACTTTGAGACAGGATGACCATGAATACGGATACTGTAGAGTCCTTCTTTCGTGTTTGAATTACCCCATCTCCTCTCGCTGATGAGCTGGAAGTGTCTGTGGTACCCCTAATAACTTTCTGCAATTAAAGCGCCCTAAAAACATTTAAAAGCCTGTAAGTCCTACAGATGCCTTGCTTCCTTCCAAATATTCAGTGTAGAACCCTTTTGTACCGCTAGTGTACTTCTAGAGCAACTTCACCCATTTAAAACAAACAAAAAAAGTATACCAATATCTATCCCACTGAATTGCTGCGAAGCCCAAGAAAAGAAAAATATGGCTCTCGGGATGTGGCACCCAGCTCCCAGGGTCAGACTCACCGGGTGGGAGGTGGTTTAAAACAGATTTCTAGGCCTCAACCTACTAGTTCAGAACATCTAGGCATGAACCTTGGGAATCTGCACTACTTCAGAATCTCTTTATAATTTTTACACGACAGAAATCTGAAAACCACTGAGTACGGAACGACGTTCTAGAATGAAAAAGCCTTTTTTAAAGGGTGAATGTTGGATGAGACATCAGAGGTACGGTCCACCACCAGGGTCACTATAGGAGGCCGAGTAGGGAGCCGGACTCTGCCCAGCCCCTGCCCACGGACCTCCAGTCCTTGCCCCGCCCCCGTCCCAGACCCTCCCCCGCCCCCGCCCGGTACCAGTGCTCGGGGCTTACCGATCCTGCCCGACCCCTCCCCCGGCCCCAGGCCTCTCCGCCCGGCCGCCGCGGCCCGCCGCTCACCTAGACCTCTGGAAGAAGCTGAAAGAAGACACGTCGTACGCGGCTTTGAGCAGCACCGCCCTGGATTCGCTTTTGTAGAGGACGCTGAGGCTGTAGAGCTTCATGGCGCCGCGTCCTCAGGCCGCCCGCCTGCCCGGCCCGGGACTGGTTCGCAGGGAGCAGCGCGGCCGCCGCCCCTCTGGACCGCCGCCGCCTACCGGCCTCCCCGCCGCCGGCTGCTGACTGGGCCGCCACCCGCTTCCTCCTCCTGGCTTGAGATCTACTTCCGGATCCGGCCAGGAGTCACCGCCCGAGATCTGGATTGGGGAGGGCTGGGGCGGGTCTCACGCCCCGGATGCAGAAAGGAGCAACCGGAAGCACAATCAATAAGGGGCGGGACGTGCTCGTGAGCCCGGCCCCGTCCCGCTTGCCCGGGGGAGTTGTGTGCGTGCCCCCCACGCTGCTGTGCGGGGCGGTGCTGGGCCCTCCCCGGCCATCCCGAGCGATACGAGGTCGTCCCGGGCCGCTCTGGGCTGTGCTGGGCCACCCACGTCGCTCCCACTCACTGCCCCTCCGAGCCACGAGAGCAGCCTATACCTGCCTCTTGGGCAGTGAGACCCAGAGCAGCACCCACGCGCCAGTGCCCTGCAAAATCCTACGGGAGTGAAGGAGGGACCTTTTGTTCCAGAACGCCCCTTCGGGCATATGAAGCTGCCTCCGGGTTCCAGATTATTGACCGCTCCTGCCGCGTGTGAGAGTAGATCACGGGTACTCGGGACCCCTCCACTCAAGAGTGCAGGGGAAAGCACTGATGTAGGACCTCACTGAGCAGCAGAGTTTCTTTACCTCAAAGGGGTGCAGAAATTGAGCTCCACACTGCAAGGAGCAGCTTGGTGCACAGTGACGTGGAAAACTTCATTTTGCTTGAGTTGTTGAAACAATGTAAGTCCGTGGACGGGGATGGGTAAGGCAGTCTCCTGAGGGTGCCACAGCTTGCTCATTTCTTGTGTATTAATTGACATCATGTGTCACGAAACCAAACTGGGTCCATTTGCCTGCACACAATGGAAAGCCAAATACCAAAGCACTGGAATTGTGTAGCCAGAAAGGTTTATTGCCAGGCAGCCAAGCAAGGAGACAGGAGCCAGGCTCAAATCTGTCAATACCTACCACGCAGACAAAGATTTAAGGGAGAGATTTTGGGGGGAGCGTTTCAAGGCTGGTCGGTGATTAGCTGGAAGGAAGAGGACTTTGGGGAAATCCCTTGGGCTTTTGCTGTTTCCTCTTCATGGATTGCAAGTGCAAATTCAGGGGGAGTTGGTATAAAACATGGGGTGGCAATTTTGGCTGTGAAGTCAAAGGGTCACTCATAGGGTAAGTTTATTTTGCACAGGTTCCAGTCAACCATACTGGTTCCAACTTGTTTCAGTCAGTTTTATAGGGGAGTTGTAGCAAACTGTTTCTTTATCTGCCACCTTGCAAGACAAACTTAAGACTTCTGTAACTAGTTTCTTTAACCCTGTGATACAGTTTCACATGTAATCAGAAAGGAACTTACAAGACACTTACATCTGAAAGCATCTTGGTCCTTGGAAAGTTGTGCGTAAAGTTACACAATTGTCATGCTAGAAGCAGCCAGATCTTAGATGATGGGAAAGAGATGACACATTGGAAAGCCAACAGCATCACTCTAAACATTACTGTAAATCAAGATCTCTCAACCTCAGCACTACTGAAGTTTTTGGTTGGATAGTTCTTTGTTGTGGGGAAAGAACTGCCCTTTGCATTGTATAGGCAGCATCTTGAGCCATTAGACATCAGTACCAACCCACTCCTTCCCCATTGCGGCATCCAAAAATGTCTCCAAATGCCTACTACTGGGAGAAGTAGTTTAGAGAAACATTGCTCTAAATAAGCTGTGGCAGAAGGAAGTTCCCACCACATGCCCACTCATTCAGCATCTCCCTCACCAATCCAGGGTATTTCCAAGTACAGAGGGCAGAAAGGGCTTTTACACATCCTCTGTTTGGTGCCAAACCTCAGTAACAGCCATTGACCATGACTACGCCCAGCCACCCACAGATGTGGGCACAATAGTCTGACAAACCGTGTTGCCAGGTGCTATCAATCCAGCCCTGTCTACCTGTACTGACACCTATAGGGGGCAGGTGAGAGTCGTTTCTGAGGAAAATCTCTGGAGCCCAGTTTCTTCCACTGAAAGTTGCACAAAAAGATCAGGAAGACAATGCTTGGATGGAATAGATTTTGATGTATTCACTTGACACATAATAGTAGCTGTCTCAAAGGTTCTCTTATACCAAGCACTTTCCATGTGCTACCTCCCTCATTTAATCCTCACAAAAACAGAGGAAGATATTATGCAATCTTACAGGCATAAAAACTGAGATTCAGTTTAAGGAGATTGTTAGTAAAAGGCACAGTTGGGGTTTAGGTGTCAACACTGAAACACTTAACAAACAGCTCATACAACCCAACTCCACTCCCGGCAACTCTTCCTGCTCCCCCCTGGCCTTCCTCAGTCTCCTACTGACCCAGGAAGCCGCATTCAGCCACGTGGTTGCAAACTTGCCAAGCTTACCTGTCTTCCTGAAAAGCAAGACCTGCCTTCCACTCCCTCAGCCTAGCTGTCACCCAACTTGAATTCAGTTCTAGCACTGCCACACCACAAAAATCACGTCAGTGAACAAACCATTACCTTTTTGGAGTCTCCTTTGATTCTTTTAATCTATAAAACTAGAAAAACTTCTTCCCACAGGCATGTGCTGGGAATGATAAAACATTATATTCCAAGCTCTAGTCACTACTGATGTTTAACAGGTAACAACAATGATGATTATTTGTATTGTTATTGTTAATGACAAAAGGGGTATTGATCATAGTGGATTGAATTTGTCCTACAAATTGTGGGAAGCAGAGATAAGGCTAAAATCTGAGTCGTTTGTATATTGCAGTTTTGTATCTTTTTATTTCCTGTGGTTCTGTAGAATTATTTGTTTTTAGGAAATATACACAAGTATTTAGGGGTAAAAGGACATCATGTCTGTAACTTACTTTTTTTTTCCTTGAGTTGGAGTCTCATTCCATCACTCAGGCTGGAGTGCAGTGGCACACTCATAGCCCCCCCAGCATCTACCTGCTGGTCTCCAGCGATCCTTCTGCCTCAGCCTTCCAAGTAACTAGAACTACAGCTGTGTGCTACCATGCCCGGATAATTTTTTTTTTAATTGTAGAGATGAGGTCTCGCCAAGTTGCCCAGGCTGGTCTCGAACCCATGGGCTCAGGCAGTCCTCTCACCTCAGCCTCCCAATGCAACTTACTCTTAAAGGGTGTGTGTGTGTGTGTGTGTGTGTGTGTGTGTGTGTGTGTGTGTGTATGTGTGTGTGTGTGTGTGTGTGCGTGTGTGTGTGTGTAATGATAGACAGATAAAAGCAAATCTAAGGAATCAGGGTGAGGTGTATCCAGGAATTCCTTGGGCTGTTTTTGCAACTGTTCTGGAAGTCCACAGTGATGGCAAAGATTGCAGAGGCAGAGGCACTGAGACTATGAATACAGCACGCACAGGGGTGGGGAACGGCATGGCTCTCCAATCCAGGCTCCCCCTCAGGTGCTGGACCCTAGAAGAAAAGCCTCCCTGCAGACAGAATTGGAGTAACACTATCCATGATAAACAGCCCAGGCCCTATAAGTTTGCACCCCTGGGTAAGGCAGGTACCCACACACGTTTGCAGTCTTGCCCAGCTCACATAAGGTGCCAGCACTAGTTGCACAGCAGAACCCCAAGGGAGTCTGCTGAAAGCCCATCACAAGCCCATACCCCCAGGAGGCCCAGTTCAGGTGCAGAGCCCAGATACACCTCCCTGTCCAGCTATCCAAGGCCAGGGCAACTGGGCTGTTTTCACTCTAAATGACATGGGACTACACAGCTTATTTAGAAAAGGGTTGTTGAAAGGGGCCACTCCTGATGTGGTCAGGCCTCCCTGGTCTGAGTAGGTCACCAAGCTTCAGGTGTACAGACTTGATGCCATCAATCAGGGACCGTCCCCAGACCCAGCCCCCAGGAGCATTGCTCACTACCACAACCCCTCACTGAAGTGTCCTGGGCTCCCAGGCCACAAGGAAGACGGATGTGGTCTGCCACCAGTTTTAATCTCTGCCACCACCTGGATTTGTGTAGCCAGAAAGGTTCTCCATTCCAGCTGTGATGGAATGGAGACATTAGAGCAAGGGAGGGACAGGGACAGGAGAATACTTGGGTAGAAAGGAATCATAGCCAAGGAAGCCAGGAGGCAGATACCCTCATTTTGAGACTCTCACAGGGCTTCCCAAAAGCTGTATTTTTCCTAGAGATACCCCCCTCCCCAACTGGGGGGCTAGAGATGGATGTATAGCCATGCAGAGGAATGCCAGGAATTTAGAATTAGAACACATAATCATTTAGGCTAGTGGCTTGTCCTGTCTATGGTATCCTGATGGGTGTGGGGCTGCCTTGTACAGAAAGTGGGAGAAAGTATATGCTTAACCAGGAAAGGGGCAGGCAGGAGTCCTGGTCTGCGGAGAAGTGCCCTGTTCCACCATCAGCTTGCACCTCCCACAGCCTTCAGGGTCTGGACCCCTCACTGAGAACAGAAAGAAGGATGAGAAATAAGGGCAAGAACACGAGGTGTGTTCTCTGAATAGCTGAGTGCACCAAACATAAGCTAGCAAATGACGGCAGTGACCACACAGAGAAAGTCTTCACAAGAAAACCATACCACTTGGCCTGGAGGCTGAGGTCATACACCACCCACCACATGGTGCCCCAGGCCTGAGCCAATCAACCAACCATCCCTATTGCCTCAACCATTGGTTTATGGATGGGCACTTAACCCAGACCTCAACCAATCAACGCAGTCCACCCCCTCCATCAGTAGGCTGTTCAATCACAGCAAAACCCAGGACTTTGAGAAGAAGAGTGAAGCAATGTGATTGACACAGATTGAAGATGGTCAATGAGCCTCCAGCAGGATAGATCCAAATTTTGGTTAAACATAGAGGATTAGCCATGCCTCATATGTATGTTACATAGGTTTATGTGAGCTCCCTCCCAAACATCTGCCACGATAATGGCACAAGACAGAGAGATGAGGGGAACAGTTACAAGGGGGAGCTAGTGAGAGATATTACCAATGCAGGGTGAAGGTGGGGGAATTGAGGAAGCACGGCAGACCTACCACGGGACAGGGGCTAGTAGGCTATCCACATGTCCACAGGGTCCGGAAACAAAAGAAGCAAGGGCATCCTGGAAAGGCTCATACCTGGAAAGTGCAGCTCCCTCCTCACCTGCTCCTCAAATTCTTCAGCCATCTACCCTACCCCATGCCAGGGAGGAGGATGGAGGACTTTCCTTTGAGAGAATTGAATGACTCAGAGATTCTGCCGCCTTGTGGTCACCAACTAAACCATTCACTGTTTCAAGTAGTCCCTGTTGGGTAAATGTCCCCCAATACCCCCCCACAAGGCTCTGGCCAGTGTGCAGTGTGGCTGCCCTCGGATCAGGTGACATTCCAATCAACTGTGGCCAGGAAGGGCAGGGCCGTGTGGCAGAACCTGGGACCTCTGTGTGAGGGACTGCCTTGGCCCCTGCCCTGTTAGGCTGTGGTAAAGATCTCTTAGGGGGCAGTGAGCACAGAAGATCATTCCAGTCAATTCTTGAACCTCCCTGTCCTCAGTGACTTCATTTGGAAAGTGGTGGTCTTAATATTACCCCTTTCTGCTGCCCAGGAGTGCCTGATCAAATGACAGAACGGATGCAAAAGTACTTTGTGAATCATAAAAGTTTTAATCGATATTAGTTATAATGACAATTGATCCTTCTCCTAATAAATATAATGCCTTTCCTTAGGAACAAATCTAACAAGAAATGTGCAAAATATGCATGAGAAAAATAATAAAACTCACTTGAAGGACACAAAAGAAGTCCTAAATAAATGGAACAGCATATCATATTTCTAGATGGCAAGACCCAGTATTCTAGAGATGTTAGTTCTCTAAAATGAATCCACAAATCCAGTGCACTTCCAACAAATTGACATTATCAACAGTATTATTTTCTGAAATGAGATAAGTAGACACTTTTTTTTCTTTTTGAGTAGGAGTCTCACTCAGTTGCCCAGGCTAGAGTGCTGTGGCATGCTCATGGCCACCACAGCCTCAAGCTGCTGAGCTCAGGTAATCCTTCCGCCTCAGCCTTCCAAGTAGCTGGAACCCCAGGCATGCACCACCACACCCAGGTTGTTTTCTGATTTATTGTAGAGATGAGGTCTTGCCAAGTTTCCCAGGCTGATCTTGATCCCCTGGTCTCAGGCAGTCCTCTCACTTCTGCCTCCCAAAGTGCTAGAATTACAGGTGTGAGCCACTGTGCCTGGCATGCTAAGATTTATAAGAAAGATAAAAGGCACATGGTAAAGAAGAAAAGGAGAGGGGAGGGGATGCTTGCCCCATTGAATAATTTTTAAAATTTAAGTTATACAAACTGAAAGAGTGTAGTATCAGCAGAGATGTGAGAAACATCCAGCATACAAGGCAAAGCCAAGGCTCTCCCGACTCAGCAGGTAAAGTACAACACATCACTTTTACATTCAGACAACTTATTGCTGACACAGACAGTAAAGGAAAGACTACCCAAAAGTGCAGTTCCCTGGGTCTGTCCCATACTCCAAAAGGATGACACTAAGTCAAAAAGGGCAGCTACTTATGGCAGATCCTTGCCAAGGAGCCAGTTCCAGACTGCAGCTGCAATCTGAGGGGGACAGGCAGAGGGCCTCATATCTACCCCAACAGAGCCCAGGAGACGATGAGAACCTGTCCTGAGCCTCCCAGGGAGGTGGACAAGGTAGTGGGAGATGATCTCGGAGCAGCTTCCCATAGGCCTCCAGGAGGATCACAAAGTGGGGTCAGCTATGGTTCTCAGCTTTGCATGTGTGGCCTTTGGGTATATCAGCAAGGTGACCAGAGCTGAGCTGTCCCCTTACAATAAAGAAATAAAACAATGGAATGCAAACTGTGGGTATAGTCAACATTACCAGTCAGTGGGGGAAAGGTTAGCCTCCCCAACAAATAGCCATATTAGACTTCTACCTCACACTCTACTCCAAAACCTGCCCAAGGACCCATGAGAGCAGAAAAGAGGATTTGGAAAAAAGGCGAGAATGTAAGATGTGCCCTCAAAATGGCCGGGCACCCCAACACAAACAATTCCAGAAAGACTAAAGTGCTGGACATAGTTTTAAAATTGGAAAAATATCAGAAGAAAATGTGGGAGGACATTTTTTACAATTTGGAGGTGGGAAATGCTTTACTTAATGAGACATAAGCCCCAAAGCAAGAAAGCAAAGATTGAAATTCATAGCTGGGCTCAGTGGCTCAGCCTGTAATCCCAGGGCTTTGGGAGGCTGAGGTGAGTGGATTGCCTGAGCCCGTGGATTCGAGACCCACCTGGGCAACTTGGCGAGCCATCATCTCTACAATAAATCAGAAATTAGCCGGGCGTGGTAGTTCCTGCTACTTGGAAGGTGAAGTGGAAGGATTGCCGGAGCCCAGCAGGTCGAGGCTGCAGTGGCCAGGAGCAGCCACTGCACTCCAGTCTGAGCGACAGAGTGAGACTCCTACTCAAAAAAAAAAAAAAAATCATAAAAAGTAGAAACTTCTGTATGATGAAAGACACTATCAACCAACTTGTAAATGTAGCAATAGACTGGGGGAGATATCATAGCATATTTAACAAAGGATTAATAGATAAGAAATATAAAAATGGTTTCTTTTTTTTAAGCAGGATTTATTGAGAGCCAGAAAATACCCCACAGACCCTAAAGGGTTGCCAAAAAAATTAGCCAAGCATGGTGATGTGTGCCTGTAGTCCCAGCTACTTGGACGGCTGAGGTGGAAGTATTACCTGAGACCAGGAGACTGAGGCTGTGGTGAGCCATGATCGAGCCGCCGCACTCCAGCCTGGGTGACAGAGTGAGACCCTGACTCAAAAAAACGAAAATAGCAATGTAATTAAATGATATAAACAAATCATCCTTAAAGAAACACAATAACAATAAGTATATGGAAAAGTATCCAGTATTTTGCAATTTAAACAACAATGAAAGGATAGACAGCAAATAATTATAAAAATTTATCATCTCAAGGATTGGCCAGGATGTAACCAAACTCCTGTAATGTTGGTGGAAGTATTATTAAATTGGTTAAGTCTTTTGACAAGGTATTATAGCCCTAACTGCCAAAACTTAAAATGTATACAGCATCTGAACTAGCCTCTAAGAACAATCCAGAAGAAACATTGGCACATGTTTATGCAGATGAAATACAAGATTTCTACCACAGTCTTGTTGGTAACAGTGGAAAACTAAAACTGCCTTAATGCCCATCAACAGGAAGTTGATTTAAAAATGTTACTGTACCTCCATCAGGAGAGATCTCCACTCCTCCTCACCCCCTCTGCTAGACCTCTGAATGGCAGTGGCCCGGGGCTTGGTCCAGAGCCTTTTTTTGGTCTTTATTGTTACTATTAAATACCATCCAGACTGAGAAACGCTATGAGTATGAAATACACACCAGATCTCAGAGTCTTAGGCCGAAGCACATTTTGTTCCAGACTGTTGACTGAGTGCCCTGAGACCGCAGCCGAGCCAGCTCCAGCACTCTGGGCTCCTGCTTCATTCACTGGGTCTCTTCTGCACTGGGCAACCTCTCCAGGGTACTTGAGCTGCCAGGGTGAGAGTGGCCCTACGTCCTGGGCCAAGGATTGAGGCTTTCTGAGCAGGACAAAAAGACCTATTACCTGTGGGCCTCTGTTCTGGCAATGCTGACCTTAGCCAGGCTCATTTTGGCCAGGTCCAATATTCCAGTTCTGGTTTCAAAATGATAGACAGGGAAGCAGTGACGAAACTCTCTGGTAGTCCTGAGTGCTTGCACCTATGCCACACTAAGCTGCCTGCTACCTTTCCTCTGGTTCCCAGACTCACAGAGGCCTCTGTTCCTCAGGACGTGAATTGGGAGACCCTGAGACACAGCCCTGGGAACTGAACAGGTGGCAAAGGCTCGGCAGGCTGGTGGTCACTGCAGTGATAAGACGATTGAGTGGTTACCATGGTGATAGGGATGGAGGCCTTTTACCACCAGTCCCAGTTTTCTGCATGGCAGCTCTAATGACAGGATGGTCAGCTCTGCTGAGGCCACTCCTGGTCACCATGACAACCGCAGGTCCTCTCAGGAGCACAGAAACCCTGGCAGTAGAATTCCCCACTCCACACCTGGTCGGAGCAGGAAGTGTCGAACAGCAACTGAGCCCTAGGGAAGCAGGCTGGAGTGTGAGCAACACGGTCACCTGCGACCTAATTACTCAAGAGCTGTCCCCAAGTCACAGGAGGGGAGAGGATCTTTCCTGCTGAGTCTGTCTAGAAGACAATACACCCCACAGCTCAACACAGCCTGGAGAGAAAACTGACCAGCACTGAGGACACCACCCAGAGCCAAGCCAAGCAATGGCCCTTCCTGGAGAACACCCGGCCTGACGGGGCAAGAGAACACTTGCTGACTTGCTGGAGAACAATGAAAAGGAGAAAACTGTGACTGAGCCTCAAACTCAAAACCAACTGAGGTGGACCATATTCTCCCAGAGGCCCAGGGCTGGCCGTGACCCCTGGTAGGGAGAAGCCTTGGATATTTCTGCTTCAGAAACCTTTTGGGGAAGGTTGAGGGGCCCCAGCTCCCCACGGCTGGCTGCTGTGCAGATGCTGGATGACAGAGCCAGGATGGAGGCCGCCAAGAAGGAGAAGGTAGCTCGCCACTTTGTTGGGCGTTTTGGGAGTCTTCATTTGCGTGTCCCTAACCCTCAGTGGTCTGCTTGGCACTGACAAGGGTTTGCACGTCAGAATCTGATTTTATGCACAGGCTTTACTGAGAAAGAGTTAGCTAGGGGAGCCTTTGGGGCAGGAAAGTTCCTGCTGCCTAGCAGATACATCCAGCTTCAGACTCTGGCCAGGCAACCTAAAGGCAGGCGGCCCAAAGGTCTGGGAAGCAGCCTCTACTGGGGAGAGGCTTTAGGAGTTTAGAGCCCAGGGGTTAGGGACCTGGGGTCTTAGTGGACAGAGCACACTGCCTGATTTTGAGAGAATATGCAATGAACGTCGTGACAAAGAAACCTCACTGCCTCGTAAGAGTCACTTCGCAGGGAGGCTGAGGGCTGCTGCACCTAACCAAGGAGTAAAGGGCGGTTACTTTTTCCAAAAGCAGAGAAATTCAGGCATCCTCTGAGCCATCCCCAGGCCCAGCAGTGAGCAAGAAGAGAGCTGGAGATGGGGGGCATTTGCTGTGAAATGTCAGCAGGAGTGTGCCCACATGGCCCAAGGTAGGGGCCCAGGCAGAGTGGGGGAGACAGGAAAAAGTGGTCAGTTCCAGTCACTTTGTTTGGGGCATGTTTTCCTTTTGCTTCTGTGTGAAATGACAAGGTCAGCATAAACCCCGGGCTGGTTCTGCTTCTGGCAGAGCTAATGATGTCAGGAGGAAAACAACCAGCCCAAGTCAGAGGGTACATGCAGCCAGGCAGCGGGAGGGCCATGGCCCAACCAAGTCCCATATCTGCCAGTTACTGGTACTATGCCAACAATTTGGATGAGAAAACCTGCCCAAAGAAGCCCCTTCAAGCCACCCAAGGAGAAGAAAGGTGGTATCTGATTGGCACAAGCAGAGAGATGGCTCAGAGATGGAGAGGGGTAGATGTATGTGCTGCGGAGACTTGGCACTTTCCCCAAATGGGGAGAGAAAGCATGATGCATGTGTGTACACGTGTGTGCAAGTGTTTATGTGTGTGCTGTAGAGAATTGGCACTTTCTCCAGAGACAAAAAACACAGTGTACTCACATGTGCACATGTACATGAATGTGTGTGCTTTTGTGCCTAAGCTTGCGTGTGTGCACATGTGTGTACAATAAATCACTTTTTATTTTTTAAGGAAAGCAAAGCTTTTATTTTTATCTTTTTTCTCAGTTGAGGATCTCACTCTGCCACCCAGGCTGAAGTGAATGACGCGATCATGGCTCACCGCAGGCTTGACCTCCTGGGCTCAGGAAACTTTCCTGCCTCAGCCTCCCAAGTAGCTAGGAATAGAGGTGCATGCCACCATACCCAGCTATTGTTTTTATTTTTTGTAGACAAGGTCTCACTATGTTGCTCAGGCTGGTCTCGAGCTCCTGGGCTCAAGCAATCATCCTGCCTTGGTCTCCCAAAGTGCTGGGATTGTAGGCATGAGTTGCCATGCCAGCCTGAATCACTTTGATAAAGGCCATAGCAGAGTTGTCCCCAACTCCCCTTGGTCTGGGGATTAAGACCCCTCAGAAAGAGCAGCTATGTCTAGAAAGCTTCAGGGTAGGAAAAGGCCAAAGGGGGTGTTAGTAGTAAGATCCAGGGACTCAGTAGCCCCAACACTAGCCCCTCTGACTGACATGGCCAGGCCCACTTGCACCTGCCCACAGCAGGACACCCAGAGGAGGGAGGAGACAGATTGAGAGAGGCACAAGTTGCTCTTGACCCTGCATTCACAGTGGCATGTGAGTGAGCCACCTTCTCAGGCTGAACATCTATTCTCAGACTCTGGGGTGGCCCATGCCACTTCCTGTTTCTGCTCCACGTATGAGGGACTGCTGGGCCTGGTCAGGGCCAATTGTGGACCCCAGAGCCTTGCTGGAGTTACTGACACCCTTGTCATTGTCAAAGGGAAAACAAGGCATCACCTCAGGTACAAACGTTAAGAAGACACCAAAGGCTGGGCTCGGTGGCTCAGCCTGTAATCCCAGAACTGAGTGGATTGCCTCTACCCCTGGGTTCGAGACTAGCTCCAGCAACTTGGCGAGACCTGTCTCTACAACAAATCAAAAAATTAGCCAGGCATGATAGCACGTGCCTATAGTTCCGGCTACTTGGAAGGCTGAGGCGGAAAGGTCTCCAGAGCCCAGCAAGTCGATGCCGGGGTGGCCATGAGCGGGCGTGCCACTGCACTCCAGCCTGGGCTGAGACTCCGACAAAAAAAAGAAGGCACCAAAACCATAAGTCATCAGTGTATATGCAATTTTAATGCAGTATTTTAAATTATTTTAATACAGAAAGTTCATGATGAACACAATACCAAATTCTAAATGAAGACAGGATGAGTATCACTGACTTCTGTGCTTGTCTCAGCCCTGGGCTGGCCCCTCATCCATCATCCAGGTAGCAGCGTGTCAAGGTCAGATGTGGGAAGATGTGGAACTGCAATGCTCACTCCTCTCCTGCTTCCTCTGGCTATATGGAGGACTCCCCTCCAGTCTTGGGAAAGCCTGACTTGGCTTTAGGGCTGTTCTAAGAATTTGATGCATTTTTTTTTATCAATATTTTTTATTATGATGTTGTGGGGTACAGTTAAGGGTTAGGTATACAAATACGTTTCATTCAGGCACCCTGTTGATAAGAGGTGTTTCCCCATCCCCAGACAGATATTTGCTACCGTTGATCCCATCTCCCTTCCCCCCCATAGTTTCCCACCACTGTCAGTCATTTTCTTATAG